ATAAAGGGAAAAGCAAGATTCACCTATACAACACAATTTGCACCAACCAAATCAAACTTGACGCAGATGCTTTGTAGGACGTAAAATCCCTTGAACACCTGGGCAGTATCATTGACGAGCAAGGTGGGTCTGAAGCAGATGCGAAGGCGCAGATCGACAAAACAAGGTCTGCATTTTTACAGTCAAACAACACCTAGAACTCGGAATACCTATCACCAAACATCAAAGTCAGAAATTCCAGTACAAATGTCGAGAGAGTCCTACTGTATGGGGCGGAAACTTGGAGAACTACGAAAGCCATCGTTCAGAAGGTGTAAATATTTATTAACAGTTGTCTACATAAAATACGTTGGATCCATTGTTCAGACACCATCAGCAACAACCTAATGTGGGAGAGAGCGAACCAGATTTCAGGGGAAGAAGAAATGAGGAAGAGGGACCCAACTGTGTCACTAGACAAGCCCTCACTTAGAACCCTCAGTGTAAAAGGAAAAAAGGAAGGCTAAGAAGCAGATTACGCCTAGAAATGGAGACAGACATGAGAAGAAATGAAATTGGACGGAACTGTAAAGGGAAGCTCAGGACAGAGTAGGTCGGTTTATAGGCGTAAGTAAGTAAGTAATTAAATAAAACAGCCTATAACAAGTCTACCAAATTATAAATATTACTTCTTACATGTAATAAACTGTTATTCTCCGTTTTGTAGAATTAACATTATTCTACATTAACTAGATAGAAACAGTGTTACTATGTGTCTTAAATTAAAGATGCTGGTATAACATATACTATTCGCTATTCATTTCAAACACCTAAAGATTTCAGTAATTTTGATACGCCAAACTTTTTCATTGCTAATATATTGCGCTTGATATACGCGCTTCCAAATAGAAATATGGTAAAAGTTGTATGGTATCCGCTCAGTTGGAAGAAAGTTTTTCTACAAATTATCGTATACTGAGAAATAAATAAAACTGTAAGGAATCGAATAACTGTTTTCATTTCCACTTCCTCAGAAGTGAGTATACACGATGCAAAACAGAATCGAAGCTATGTCAATTAACTATCAGTTAAATGAAACACTTCAAGTGAGGAACAATAACTTATGGATGATCAAACTGATACCATCTAAAATTACAATGCATCAATCAGGTTAGACCTAAATTGCTAAAACAGTGTGAAATAAGTACCAATTAAAATGTGATACGTATCCCAGAAATCAGTCATATATTATAGAAATCAGTAGCTATAATGTGTACTACAGTTCATAAGATATTAAAAATTGTTGATAAATTCCTTCGTCCCACTCATACGACCGATGGAAATGAAATTATTCAGTCAAAGAAATAATAACAAAATCCAGATCTAGTTTACTAATATTACCAGCTAAATTGAACAAGTAGCCTGTTATTGTTTTATGATTATGGTTAGAACTTTTTGTAGCAAAAAACTCTTTGCATTTACACAGTTAAATGATTTTAGAAGTAAATTTGTTATTTCAATACAAAAATATATATTAACGAATTAAATATATTTTTTTATTGTTTCGATTGCTTGATAAACAAATATAAGTGCATGGCTTTTTTTGTTCAATGAAATATCTTGAATGATTCGCTAAACGAAAATTCGACATTCACTATATTTTAATGTAAAATATTTTCATTAACATATACAGCTAAAGTCTGATGACTATGTTTTTTATTAATAAGTTTAAGGAAACCACTTTCTTTATTTCGTTATAAAATTATACTCTACTTTTTTTTGATAAAATATACTTCAATTAGAATTTTTCTTTCTCTACCATATAAAACTAAATTTTTTCAAGAAAATAAACTCAGTTAATTTGAATGACAAAAAATTTTTTATTAAAAATAAAAGCCAAAGAGCCAATTAACAAACTTGTATCATGTTTTTTTGGAAAAAAAATATAAAACTTTTAAAATGTATTATTCTTTCATCTAGAAAAATATAATTTTTTTTCATAAATTCTCATGTAATTAAACAAAATTAAATGGTCGCAGCTTTCTCAATTCACAAAAAAAACTGAACAACCTAACTAACAGTAGACAATTAATAATAATAGGTGTGAATGGAAGAAAAAAATGCCTGTTCTCTAGTTCAAATTGAAATAAAAATTTCTTTAAAATACAATTAAAATTTGGCTGAAATGTTTTCACCTTCAACAACAACAACAAAAAAAACACCCTAAAGCAATGTGAATAAAAAGATCTTGAGGTAAACGCTTGCTTGAAAAGAAGATAAGCAATTTCCATTTTGTACATATGTTTTTTTTGATAACGCAAGCGTTAAATTTTTAAAATATTATTATTTTTTAAAATACATGTACCACACTTCCATGTCTGAATGCAAAAGTGTTAAAACAAGCAGAAAATTAAATTTTCTGTATCATTTCAGATCATATATAGATTCGATACAAATAACAATCTATTCGTATTTGTATTTTGCCTGTAAGATTGCGAATTGAAATCTCATATAGACATTGGACTTATGGATTAATCTAATTTGTAGATTTTGGGTTTATTTTATGTGTGATTTATTTCAGCTATGTAGGTTGTCCAACTTATAAATTAAATAATGAAATCAATAAACAAATAATGAAATAAATTATTCTGTGACTATGCATTTTACCCATATGAAAAGATATAAAGATATATCTCAGTGAAATCATCAACCAATCAATTTCATTCTATCATTAGAAACATGAAAACGCTGAACTGGCGTTTCATCCTGGCATGGAATTCAGCAGTCACAATTCAGCACATCCACGACACTCGCACATAGGAATTGATTATAAGACTTTCGGTCACATGCATGAGCGCTTAACCTCTACACCACTGAGCTGGCATCCGACAGTAATAATGTCTAACTTCAATCAATCCACGATCTTGTCTCACTTCATCTTCAGTCTTCGGTAACTGCCTACACCCGACAGCCTTGAGCTCCACTGGACATGCTAATTTTCATGACATGGTTGTGGAGATTGTTGGTCTTAACATTGATTGATTCATGATTTCAATGAAATTCAACAATGCACGCAACCGTAATCATAAAACTACAAAATGTGATAATTATCTTTAGTCATTAGGAAGCTTATTAAACTTAGATCTACAATCGGTTGACTCATTAGTTTGGATAATTATAATTCAGCTTATAAATTAGATACGTACTTTTATAGTAGATTTCGATCACTGATATTGAGATTATGTACACGTTCATTCATACTACTACTTGTAACTTGATAACGATGCAGAAAGATCGGCATATTAGTTTAGTTTGTCAATTATTTTGATTTAATGGCGAAGACGTTAATCTCATGGTAAGAGCTTAATTAAATCGGTTAAGACATCTTATAAACAATAATTCACTAATTATTTATACATCACATGAATTCTTGTTTTATTGATCAGAGACCGTGGAACTCTTCAAAAATCAAACTGTTATTCTTCCAAGTCTTTCCTCCAACCACACACAATTTTTTCAATGTGTTAACATAATTTTATGACTTTTTTCACTAGTACAGTGAACAAACAATCATAAAACACAAGGGACCGCATAAGTCCAATGTTTAGATCGGTCGGTGAAAATTCATTTAAACTGATTATTTGAATTTTCCTACTGATCTTTAGGACTGCAATTGATCAGTCACTTTGGCATATGTACATCAGGCTAGGATTGTCTTGACTCTATCTTTAAATTACAAGCATTATCAAAATAGATTCAGGTTGGCTTGCAGTGAAATTCAGAACTCAAATTTTGCCTTATTTGAGACTCTTCAGCTGGATCTACCTGCACAATAGAGTTGATGTCCACCACATGACTCAAATCCAGAACTATTCATTTCAAACTTCATCGCGACATCCGATTAGCTACTGAGTTTTGATTGCTGTTGGCATGTGCAACAGATGTATATTTGCCTTAGTAACTGATTAATTGTAGTCTTAACGTCAATGCGAAGATTCAAATAACTAATATAAATGAATATAAATGAACTTAGTCAATCTCAACTCAATCTCTAATTGGATATCATGATGACGTTTGCAGTGGATGGTTTTGGTTTCGAGTCATGTAGTAGAAATCGACTATAGTATGCATGTACATTTAGCTAAACAGTCTCAAATAAGATGAATCATGCCTACTGGATTCTACTGCTACTCATTAGTCATCTATGCTAGTCAGGGAAAATGTTGTTTACTTTGAAAGGTGTCATATATATAAATATAACTATATATATATATATATATATATATATATATATATATATATATAACTGATTTTCTATACTTAAAAATGATCTTTGCTAAGTAAATGATTTTATTATCTGTCAAACAGCAATTTCATTATGAACTACCATTTGTTTGTTTTACATAGTGAACATAATTTATCATTTCCTTATATATTTTTTCATCTACTTTGATTCATTTCAAAAGCACAAAAGTATATGTAACATGGATTACTAGGATACTTAACTTCTGTTTACATTATCCTTCTTTTGATTAACTAATAATAACAGTGTGATATGACTGAACAAGCATTGATGTAACACCAGTAATTTTATTGTCAGTACAAACATGAAACTTTGGTTTGAAAACCTTTCAAAATAGGGCTTTGATGTAGAAACCTACAGCATTTCAGTGATCCAATTATACCATAAATTAATTTTTATTCAATTGATATTTCATAGTACCGTTTATGGGTTAGGCTATTTAAATTGGAAAAAAGAAATATGAACTGGAATTTTCACACAATAGCAAGTGGGCAACATTGGCATTATAGCTTGATTAGCTCATCAACCAATCACACTTTATTACTAATCTCTTACATTTAACCAATAAAGTATGACTTAGGATTCCACCAATCACACATTTCTCCGTTGGTATTACTTATGTATATATAAAGTGCGTAATAATTCCATTAAATTAACATTATTACTGCCAAAACTAAGATAGTGAATCTATTATTCATTAAGTCATACATAAATGCATCTGAAACTGTCAGTAGAATTTAAATGCACAAGACATGTCTATTAGAATTTATTATTATACTATTCATCAAACTGATTAATGCAGAACATCAAGATCACATCATTTATTGGGATGCTAGTAACTTGAAGTAAGTTTCAAACTGCAATTCCGTTCATGCCATTTCAAAACTTTTGGATTTATAATAGTTGTTTTTTTTTCGTTTATGTACACCAACAATCAGATTTCAGCAAGATCTAAAACTTTGCTTATTACCTTAGTTAGCTAAAATATATACTGTAATGTAATTAGAAATGATCAGTTGAGGACAAGTGAACAGAAATCTCAGGCTTTAAATAAATCATTTAATCATGAAAGTATATAGCAATAATACTTTTCACGGAGAAAATTCATTGACCGGAAGACTGAAATATCTAATGCTATAAATGAAACCCTATTTTCCATAAATCAATAGAAATCTTTGGTTAGTTACCGTATATTTTTTTCATGAATATCAATTTCATGCCGATTATTCTATGAAAAATTATTAGACGATATTACATTTGACTGCTAAGCTCAAATTACTTAAATTAATCCACCTTTTAAACTGTATGTGAGAATCAGTCGGCAGTGCTATTTATCACTGAAAATAACAGAAAAAACTACTACTGATGAAGTAGCTTACAAATTAATAATTCAAAAGCAAGTCAATTAGGTGAAACAATAACTGGTTGTATATGACTGCTTAAATAAAATTATCATATTTTTATTTTACTATATATATATATATATATATATATATATATATGCGACATTTTAAAAACTTGTTCAACCGTAATATAAGAAAAATAAATACCATTATGATTATCGATTTAGAGAAAAACTTGAGTATTTTATAATACCAAGCAGTTATTCATTTACTAAAATCAAGTGCAAGGTACATATATTACTAGTAATATATAAACAATATTATTTACATTTCAACATCTTAGTTTATTTTACTACCACAGTGTCTTCTCAATGAAGACGTTAGATACTAGCTAGAAGAAGAATCAGGACGCACTCTAAGTCCTGTTTGATATTCTTTAGCTGGATACTCATGGATCTTAATGTTGCTGTTTACAGGGAAACTCGAAGCCGTTTCCTTTTGATTAGACATCTATGCATTACTCAATGTTCTACAGAATTTAGTCAATCGCCGGATTTTGTGGTGGGTGTGAAATATTTGGAGTTCATATTTTCTTGTTGCTGAAGTTGAATAAGTCAATCAAATAGTCTTAATCGACATTTGTACACCCTGTGTGAATTACCAAAATAACAAAATCGAGGCTACAGATTTGCCAACAGGAACTGATCAAATGCGGTCCTTAGAATCAACAACAGAAAAAAATAAACCCTTTAGAATAAACGCATTTTTTGTCCGTTTTCTGAAATAAAAATGAAATATATGATTTTCAATTGAAGATAGTCAAACTGGAGTTTTTTTGAATAAACGACTTTCAATTGTTCTGAATTTATTTTAATCAATCAATATTAAACCTACACATCATGAGATGTTCAGAACATCAATTAGATTTGTAGTTTAAAAGCTTTTGGCTGTTTCAGCTCAATAGCCAATAATTTAAACTATCACGGTAAAATACATGTAGTTCGTGGATATATCAGCACTTACATAGATTTTCCACGTGCTCTTCACCACGATCTGGGGGGGCAAACAAGTACCAACAAACTGGAAAGAGCGATGCAACGTCAAGATACTAAAGAAAGATCTCAGCAAATGTGAGAACTACAGAGACATCACTTTGCTATTAGGACCAACAGAGTTGTTAAACTGAATTAATGATGAGAAAAAGCAAAGGAAACATAGGATAGCTCGAATACAGCTAGATGATTTGGACTTCGCAGATGATCTTCTATCTCATAGGCAGTAGCGAATGCCGATGAAGATGACAAGTGTAGCAGCCACTTCTGCAACAGTAAGTTTCAACATAAGAAGCGAAAATGCAGGATTTTCCGAAACCACACAACATACACCAACCAATCAAACTTAATAGAGAAGCAGGGCCAGAATTTCTACAGTCAAAGAGCATCTGGAACTCAAAAAAAACCATCACTTAACACCAAAGTCACAGCTTTCAACACAAACGTCAGAACACTTCTACTGCATGGAGTTGAAACTTGAAGAATTACGTGAGCCATCACCGGAAAGGGACAAGCATTTACAATTTACAGTGTGCACACAAGATACTACGTATCCATTGACCAGACGTCATTAGCAAAAATCTACGGTGGGAGAGGATAAACTAGCTGTCAGTTGAGGAAGATGTTAGGAAGAATGCTGGAAGTGTGTCAGACACTTTTCACGGAAATGCCAAAACTGCGTCAGATTAGTCTTAATATGGATACTTCATGGCTACAGGAAAAAAGGAAGATAAAATAACTCATTGCATCGGGAATAGAAGACAAGCATAATAAAGTGAGTAGAACTTGGAAAAAATCAATAAAGAAAGACTAGAACAGAGTCGACTCGGGGCACCTGTTCCCCTAAGATTAACAGACGGAAACATTTATAAATAAAGGAAAAATAACTTAAAAGTCTGTTTCCTTATTCAGAGCAAATATAAAATAGACATTATCAGCATAGAATAGAAATCTATGGCAACGAATATATTTGAATCAGTAACAAACCTAAAAAATCAAAAAATCCATTTTGTATTGTATAATGATTATAAAAATTTCAACTTTGAAGAAAGCTTTTTACCGATGATTATCCGAAATGAATTGATTTGAGAAATTTGAACTGTGATGTGTATGTGTAAATGCTGTAATATCAATATCAATATTTTCTTTTATCTACATAACAAATGTAGAGATGATTGTATATTGTGTTTATGGTGGACAAGATAAACAAACCTTAAATTATGAACACAAGATTTATTTATTTTTTTTTTTACAATAAATCGTTTCCATGGTAAACTTGTTTTTACAGTTTTTTGCTAAAGTTTATGTATCCTGATAATAGTGAAGTTATGAAAAAAATAAAATAAAATTTAGTTAGTTTTACTTCAATTATTTATCTGATAATGTGGTCAATACAGGAATAGAAAATTCTGTTTACATGAACTTGAGTTACGTATGAAAGATGAAATAATAATTCACAAAAAGTACATTTGAAGTTATTTTTGGATACAAATAAAATATTTTATGAAATAATAAAAAAGGCAATCAAGTAATTTGACAGACAATAATTTTCAATAATTTTGTACAGGAATACTTTCTCATCTATTAAATGGTTTATCGCCTTGGATCTACACAACTGCTAACGAAAGGTGCAAAGAAAGCACATATAGTTAGATGTTGTACAATGTGATTTGAATAAACTTAGTTGTATCAAGTTATCTTTGAAAAAAAAATGAGAAATATCTGTTTCAAATTCGATAATGATTCTTATTCATGCTTATGATACTTAATTTACGCTAGTTTTTGAAACTATGAGAACATACTAATCTGCAATAAAATATTCTCAAAGTCCAGACATTTTGAGCTTCCGTGAATATCCTCTTTAATTTTGATTGATTGAATAAGTATTTAGTGAAAATAGATGCAGATGATAAGACTTTCATGACTATTTACTATTTACTCACGAGAAAATCAAACCCATTTGTGTTTTTTTACATATTTAAAGTATAATTTGAGTTTCTCATCTTTTAAATGTCTACTTCATGTCTACTTATACATTCGAAATAATAAGTTGTTGTATTAGTAGACGAACTTATCATTGTAGAAAAAAATATCCCCTTTTTTCCATTGGGAAATTAAAATTTTATCTAATTTGGCTCTAAAATACTGATTACCTTTATTTTGTGAATATTAATTAATGCGGCTGATTAATGTTCTGTGAAAAAAAACTTGTGCGTAAGTGAGAAAAAAAGAAAAGTATTTTTATAAATTGAAATAAACCAATGTGATTTCTTGTTTTATGTGCATGGTACTGACTTCCAACATGGTGGGAAGTTCTTGTGATGATCTCTAATATTGACAATATCCAAGTACATAGAATAAGGATTTAAAAACAAGTTTATAATTATCAGTTACTTAAATATCAGCCGTTGAGTAGTATCAGCAAAGGCACGTTCTGTGCCTATAATCATAGTCAAAACATTTCGACTTATGTAAAACAAAAGATACATGATCATCTATGCCATATGAATATTTGACTACAACCTATTTTTGCTTACATTATTCATAGTTGTCGCAATCCTATTTCTCTGCAGAAAACTGAGTATGTGAAATTATTTGACAAATACCAAGCGCTAACTTGCTAACAAGTACAATGCACAATCAGAATTATACAGTCTATTTACCAAGTAGCAATTTATAAATTTTTCATAAACAACTAAGTTTTGAACAATTAAATGTGAATGCTGGAATTTCACAGGCTCTATTGATCAGTTGGTCAATAACACTACTTTTACGTATGGGTTGCAGATTAATTTCATGGTTACCCATTAAATGATTGAGCAAAAATAGGTTTAATAATGTGATGAAACCATGCGACTATATAGAAATTAATAAAATCATGGTCTGAAGGCAGGATCACTTTCACGAATCAATTTAACAATGTGAATACTGATCTAATCGACTCTACATCACTATATTACTTCTTTTTGATGTTGGCTAAGAGGTAATTTATCTTGATACAACACTAGATTAGGTTGGTCTCATTCTGAGATTAAGTATTGTTTCACTCAAAACCGTAATCAATTATCAGTCAATATGAAATCCATGTTCATGGCTTTTTCTGAACGTATATCAATTATGTCACATCTGACTGACTATAAAAGTTTAACAGGTCATATTATTAACTCTTATTTCTCCAAAGTTACAGTTATGGCCACTATCAAGATTTCCTTAAAGAAATGATGAAGGAGAGCTTTATTCGTCTTGTTTATACATTCTCAGAAATAGTTAATTCATATGAAACATTTAATAATTTTCCGAAAATGCCCTATTTGTATTCTCATCTATAAACTACTCAATATAAACCCTTATTATTATTATTATTATTATTATTATTATCTGTCATGGTATATTACATTTATATGTGATAAAACATTTATGAACATCGACCATTCAGGCTTGTGAACAGGTAAATCACTGGCAAATGCTTACAAAGCAGTTCATGTACTCGTATCTAATTAATAATACCAATAATCTCTGAGAAATCCATGTATCATTGTAACACGATACTTATCTTCTAATGTACTTCATATTATCCTGTCTAACTTCAGAAGTGAAGCTATTTGAATACAACGAACATTAACATATCCCTATTGAGTCAAAATATGTTTAAAAACTTTTTTTTTCGTTAAATATCGATAGCGGTCAAATGAACAAATAAAAGCACTTCAAATAAGACATTTATGCGCCAAAATTTATCAGAATATACCTATTTTTTTAATTTTCAACTTGTAAAGAATATCGTATTATGTTCAAACATTTTAAAGCATTACAAGATGTTGCTCTAGAGCCCTTCATTAATATTATACAGTGTTTTATATCATAGGTGTTTGAGGTTATATTTCCTGTAGAGTTATGCATAAAACTAGATATTCCGTCTGCAAATTCTATTAATGCTTATGTCAGTTAATTACTAAGGATTATTGTTGTAAATGATGCGAGAATATGACACTAAATAATCATAGTTGAAAAAGGGACAGAACGTTCAGACAGAACTGTACAACAAATATCAAGGTCAACAAGTGTCTAACTTACGAGCATCAATGTTGATAAATCTAATCATATTTAAAACACAGATATCTGAATGAAGAACGCTCTTTTTGACAAATTCTTATCTTAATCTAGACTTATATATCCAAATAATCGATTATAAAGAATAACCAAGTTTTAATAAACATGTCTTCATCCAAATGTAAAGGGATTTTTTTAAGACCATCTGCTAGTTTTGTTCATACGGTGTATATTAAGAATGAAATATCTAAATAGAACGAGTCCCTTTAGCTGATTCAACAGCGTTCCAATTAATCTTTTTGTATAAGTAAACCTTGTTATAGTGTAGGAGTACATAGAGATTATTTCAATAATGACTTGATGTAACTATTAATAAATACCATAGATTAAAGGGGAATTTTTTTCATCTTCAACAAGGGAACGAATAATTTTAAAAATCAGTTTATGTTTAAATGATATATTTGCCCTAACGTTAGTGTATTTTAAGAACAATTATTTAAATTGCGGAATCCGTTAGGAATTTATGATTAACAGTTATAGCTACCTGAAGACAAGTATTCAATAAATAATCACTTTCCAGGTTATAAGTTTAATAACCATTAAGAAGTATTAGTACTCCCTGAAAGAAAAGAAACTCAGAAATCATCATACTATGATGACTTTATAGTTTATTTATTTTCCAAGTAATCAATATTCTTACTTAAACACTAAAACTAACATTGTTTATTCATATTCGGTGTAAAACAGTAGTCCAAATAGATGTACAACTCGATGCATTTCATTAAGGTGACGTTAGTATTCTAAACACTAGACGAACGAACAATTAAGCTCTTTTATAAATAAAAAGATAGAACATGCGTATGTCTAATAGAAGTGGTGATTTCTAATAAATAAATGAATTATCACTGAAAGTCAAACTGTCTTATTCAATAATTGTTAGTCAAATAGATGCTGACCGCATTAAAACCAAATTGAGTTAAAACAGTGTATTTTTTTCAAAGGTAAAATGCAATTTAGTTGCTTGTTTGATTATGCTTATAGCTTAGAATATTGTAACTAAAAATTTCCTAAATAATCATATGAAAGTAGTAGTATGAAAATGAATTATAGTTAACATAAAACTACAGAAAGAGGGAAACAAATATTCACAAGCTCTTCAGATTTTCAGCTCATTAAGAATAATTTTTACGAGAGTAAATATTTGATTGAAATACGTGTAATCTAATACAATAAATTTGTTGAGTCTAGGTTATTCACATTTTCAAAAGCTTATCTATTAGGAATCTGATGTGCTTTGAATGATTTCAACAACAAAAAATAAACTTCCTGAAAAACATTTGAACATTGATATTATCTTTCAACATTTGAATTTTTTGTCCAAAATTATATAATATTGAGAAAGAAATAATTAAATTTTCCCACTGAGTAATTTTATAACTCTAGTCGAGAAAAACGTATTTACCAGCGCAAAAGAATATTGATTTCTTAATTAAAATCTTTTCTCTACTGTCACATTTTGTGAATCACTTCTGAAATTACTTTATTTCAATAATTCTTCAATAATATTGTTTTATTTTCATACAGATATAAAGAGACCTATGATGAATTGTATGTCAATGAGGGAGATAATTTGGTTTTCATCTGTTCATCGAATGAAGCACACGTAAGAAATCTTTACTGGGTAAGTCTGTTTGTTGATATTTTGAAAAAATCAGAAAGATACAGGTAATCCCAATTAAAGATTAAAATCATATCATGAATCGTTTTGTCCTACTTAGAAAGTAAGACATTATTGTACCAGTTTAAAATAATACCTGAATAGAATAAAGACATTATGTGAAATATAAATCACTGTGTCTTCCTAACAGCTTGAAAGGGGCAGTAATGTTAGTCGATATTTCACAGCTGATTATGTGTTTAAAGGGAAATGCAAAACCTGATCCAAGTGATCATTCGATCTGAAAAAGTTCCAAAGCGACTGAGTTGACTGAATCGGTAACTCAGTTGCTCAATCACGAGTTATCCTAATGAATGAATCTAGGAGCTTCAGTCATGAAACTGATTTATTCAATCATTAATCGTAAATCTGTGTATTCGCTTCAACTTTGTGCTCAACTAAACTATGGGCCACTATTAGACGAATGAAATATCAAGTTAATTTACCATACAAACATTTCTCTCAGTATCTCACTAAGCTCCCTATATTCAAAAAGTCCCTCCGTTTTAATTATATAAACAATGTTAACAGATCACGTAACTATGGGGATTATTCAGGTGATTCCTTCAAGCATTTATGATCACTCGAATGATTGATTGATATAATGTTTATACATAAAACTCTCCAGAGTCAAGCCTAATAGAAATCAATCTCAGGGAATAGCTTAAAGTTTCTAACTGATTTTTACGTATAAAGATAGTTCAAGGAATCGGAACAAGAGAATGTAATTGAAAAACATGCAACCAAATATAGGCAATCGTTTTTTTTCTTTACCAATTATTGATTATTCAATAGTGAAAATGAATGCCTGTAAATCGGAAAAGGTTGGTCAAAATTTAATAATTAAAATCATGAACGAGATAATTCAAATCTTGATTAATAATAATTTAAATGGTAATGAATGTTTGTTTGGTGATAAGATTTTCAGTGTTTCTCTTGATAGTTGTCACACAGTTACAAACAACTTGGAAAAACAAAATGTTGTGAATAATTATTTCTTATTTAAAAACCAGATAAAAGTTTCATAAAAAACTTCATTGGAAATTTCATTGTTCTTAACTCTGCTTACAAACTCCGACTTTATGTCAATTGCGTGAAAGTGTATTCGCGCTCATATTATATTTGCATGGAATGTCAGAATTATTTCAAAGTTCCATGAATGGGTACTTGCAATACAAATAATTCGAAGTGATTATCTATGAAAAAATAAGGTACAATTTTTTTTTAAGTAATGTTTAAGTGTAATAAACTCACTTTCACATTTAGAAAAAAATACCAATTAACTTCTTCATTCAAGCATTATGTACACTTTAAAAAAGAAGAAACAACCAATCAACTAACAGGCAAACCTATTTTTCAAATTACCATATAAAATAAATGTTTATATTAGGACTAGTATGAAGTGAACAATGAATAAAAACAGTGAAAAATCACTACTTCCCGGCAAACCATTTAAAAACCTACATTTACTTTCAACCACTATTATGCGTATATTTTCCAGCAGAGTTTAGAGATGACATATAACTGCATATTTCCAGTTTATTAATCATTTAAAATAGAGTTTTGAAGTATAAGATTATGATAAATTGATATTTTAAAAAGTACGTATTAGTTCTCAGATCCATTTCTACAATTTTCGTCTTACTACTGAAGCTATTTAGTTGCGATTCAATGCGAAAGATCAAGCTAAAAATATTAGAGTTTGACAGTTTCATAGTCCCTTCATGTATTTATGGTTGTTCTTACATGAATAGGCCATGTAAATATGCGCTTCAAAAGAAATTGTCCTAATTATAAATATAGTGAAAAGAGAAATGATGTAACTTCAAAACCGATGAAAAGGTTATCACATAGTTGAGACGGATTAAAGACAACAAGGATTTTGATTTTTCAGAAACTCAATATTCTCATGACTCCGGTTTTGGTTGTAAAAATGTTCGTACTGATTTTTCCATTGAAATAATATGAAAAGACATAAATCAGAATAAATTTTTGCGATCAAATTGTCACGATCAAATAAATGCCTAGCTCGCATTTAATGTTTTAATAAGTTTATTACAGGAAGTGATTGAACATAGACAATGAAAAACAGTAGAAATAAAATGCAAAAAATTAGTAAATTTATTATCATTCTGACTTTCGACAGGAAAAAGATTTAGAAATGTTTCGGAATAACTGAAAAACTATATCTTCTCTTATTAACAAACCTACCGGGTGTTTCAACAAAACATCAGAGAATAATGACATTGTAATGCTTTTCATAAATGAATCGGAAAGAAAGTCGAATCACATAAAATATAGGAATATTTTAATCTGATACAGTCAAAATACTAATCAATCTTATTTCGTTCTACCAATAAATAATTGAGGGAAGCTTTTGAGTTTCTTGTTTTTTACCCTACTGCAAATTGTTATCGGATTGCTTGTGGTTATTTAATTGCAATAGAGAATAGTTAAATGTTAATTAAATCTCATTTGGTTAAAAGAAATCTGATTTAGCAACTCTAATATTACTTATCATTCGGAAGTATGTGATTGACACCATCAATAGATTTTACCAGTATTTTTCATTTTTATGGAGCTATTGTGTGATTATGGTGGTATCAATGAGTATTTAGACGTTTTCATTATGCAAAAGAAACTTTTAAAAAACCTATGCTATAAATCGAACAAACCCTGAAGCCTTAAAAATAGTAAACTAACATTCATAACTGCAGCCATCCTTCTTGACCAGTGTGAATAATAAATACATTCTGAAAACAAAGATTAGCTTAAAACACGACGAATGACTGACAATATACTTATCCAATTAACTTGTTTACAGGACATGGAAACTTTTAATTTGTATTTGAATGAATAGTCATTAGTTGTTTGGTGGTCTTCATTGTCGAATTTGAATATTTATTCAGTAACTCACAATAAATTCACAGTTGTACTAATTTAGAATAACATGTTTGAAAGCAAACATTCTCTGCTATTCCCTATTATATATATTCCAAAAGTTGAATAACTCAGTTAAATCTTCATAACACTGTTGATTTTGGTGAGATAGCTCACATGAACCATATATTGCAACAGACAATATTTCCTACTTAGACTGTATAAAGTTTGTCTTATGGTTGAAAAGTTTAGGTAACTATAATATCCAAGTAGAGTATGTCTGTTACATTTTATTGAGTCAATTGTATGGGATAGGTTAGAACAGTTTATTGAATAGCCAAAACCCAATAGTTTGTTACATTTCCTGTAAGATTCTATAATATATTATTGAACAAAATTATCCCAAAAACAACTATTTAACTTCACATTGTTGATTGATTTTATGTATAGCTTAATGCATTCAATGTTGAGTGAATGAATAACATTCTCATAAATCAGTTAACTTTTGATTGCAAATTCACTTGTTTTAAAACTGCGTTAAAAACACGAATCATGATTTTACAGTTACAACATCTTGTAAGATAAATGAACGTGTAGAATATTTTGTATTGAAATCACACAAAATGAATTCATGTAAACCATTAGTATTCGCTTTTCATTTATTATTATTTAAACTATTCAACATTCATGAAATTCAGGAAGAAAACATCAGTTCTCGTTATACTCAATCTAGAGTTCCACCTAATTATTAAGTAGTAGATATAATGTCAAATTTAATCTTTAGTCAATCTTTATAAATTTAAGCCAACTGAAAATGCAAAGCAGATAATACAAAAGGCGATAAATTTTTGCAATTTTCTTTTCTCACAAACAGTAAATAACTTTGTGGAGAAAGTGTTGAACGGAATAACACATGAATAATTATTGATCATTTTTTTAGATTTCATTTCTATCTTCATTTATTCATGTATGAACTTACTACGAATAATACAGTTTTATTGGGGAAAAAAAATTATTTTAATAAGTGGTTTCAGTTTTCGTATCAGTTTTCATGTGCTCAGTTAATTAATTTGCAGTTCAAGTTTTCAAAATATATCTGATACCACTATGTACCTCTGTCAGGATAGAAATGATCAGTTTGAGCATTTTTTTTATCGCTCTATAGTTCTTTCAGTGCTGCTGAACTGCCGAAGGTCCTGGGTTCGAATCCTGCGGGGTGCAGGAGTCGTGGATGCGCACTGCTGAGGAGTCCCATACCAGGACGAAACGGTTTTCCAGTGCTTCGAGGTTTCTAATGGTGGTCTAACATTGATCGGTTCATGGTTTCATAATTCATAATCTTGGTTTAAGGTATTTTTCAACGATTGTTCAATTTTTTGTAGTTTACATCACAGATCGACTTTAATCAAACAACTGTTAAAAACTAGAAAGAGATGGACTGCTGTTTCAACTTGACTGAATCCCGTTTGTCAAAGCCTTTCACCAAAGCTGAACAAATTACCTCCCAAAATTGGTCACAAATTCGTAAATGATTCATAATATTTGATTACTTGAAATAAGGTTTCTCCAAATTTATTGAACACTTGAACAGTAACTAATTCTGAATTTTATTGAATAAAGTTTACTTCGATTTATCAATTATTTCAGTGCTTTATTTTTGTTTCCTTCTCAATAGACAAAAGATCCTCGAGTACAAATGAGATGCAACAAAACGATATCAATAAAATTCATTAAACTATTAGATTGCTTTAGTAAGAAGTCATTGAATGAATTTATACTTAAAGTCAGTCGATTCCCAGAAATCACATCACTGCCTAGTTTTGATTACAATACACCTGTACATTTTATAGGTGAGCACAGTTTTTTTTTTAATTTGATCAGTTATATATGATTTTCTAAATATACTTAAAACGTCTTGTTTATCAATAAAACTAATACGATGAAATTATAAATTATATTTTCTCATTCTTTCTATAACCAAATTGTATCAACGAATTAGATCAATAACATTTTCTGGCTTATAAAACGTCTAATAGATTATGAATTCATTTGTTTGATTGTTTGAATCTTCCCATTGATGTTTAGGACTGCTATTGGTCAGTCTCTTCGGTACATGTGCATCCCGCGCGGCTTGACTTGATATTGCCTTCATGTGGCAAGCATTATTAGCAGAGGTGAATAGTGGCGTTTCGTCCTGTTTGGGACTTGTCAGATGGATATACCTGCATCTCAGAGTAGATGTTCATCCTAGGACTCAAACCCAGCACCTTACGCTTTAAATGTCATCGCTCCTTAATCCAGATAGCCAACCGGTGGTAATGTAGTAATGCTTGTAACGTAAAGGTAATGTGCAGAGAATGAACACAGGCCGAAGATAATGGACTCCATTGCTAGACACTATCTACCTCTGCTAATCATATTATTGATTAAAATCATTAAGGTATTGTCGTATGTTGGTTTGATTTCTGTATCATTGCTTTTACATACATTTTGCTTCAGCTCCAGTCGCATGATGCATAAATCTACATATGAAAATTGTGTGAAGTCAGTAAACAACAGTTTACATTGGATGTATTCTCACAGAAAAATAAATTGGTTCAATTTTGAAGGATAAATAATGATGACACACTGGCTAATAAAAAAAGAGCATATTTTATAAAAATGCAAACCATGGAAATGCGCCAATTTAATCATCACTAATGATTAGTTATATTATTTGTTCAGATGAATCTCTGGTTTGTAAATTACAAAGTTGTCACAAAATAATGCATTTTCGCATTCGCGATAATATCGCTTGTATAAAGGCTTAATGCAAATAATTTGAGACTACTTCTTTTGAGTTATTTAAGTATTTTTTTATATATACTGAGAAAATACTAGTTTTACTTTAAATATACCTGCAGTAGTACGAATTATTGCGAAATATGAGATAGATGAATTTATGAACCATAACTAATTTTCTATATTTGACAAATCTACTCCTGTTTTTCATATTGCGTTTCAAAAACCAGTACTCTCAGTTATAAACATCTTGTATATTGTGGAGTCGTCAAAATATAATCACAGTTTATTTGAATCTGAATGCACTCATCATAAAACTATTTGATAGTCTAGTTGCATGTACACGATTTTCTCGCTTAAGACAAAACCTGTAAACCGTAAATTCTACTCATGATGAATTATCTTTGGAAGAAAATTTAATTGTTCAAAGTTTTTAAAATCTACTTTAGTTATAGAACAAGGGTTGATGTGAATTAGCTCCACAATTCAAGTAAATTGTGAAGTCACTATGATGAGGAACGTTCAGTTGGACGAACAAACTTTGAGTTAACTAGAGGAATAAATATACGAAAATACCTAGATAGAATAAAATGTAACATTACTCATACGTTGATATCTATCAGACATTTTAATTAAAGAAAGCTTTAATTACTCGATATATATTTTTTTCTGAACGATCGAATCATCTCTATTCATGCATTTTCTTTACAGATCATCCATTTACATGTCAGAAAAATAACTTTCGACTAAGTTTCAAACTAGCAAATAATTCTGTAAATAATAAAATTAACTATTCTGCTTTTGATGTTCTAAAGTTTCCTACATCAGAATCGCAACTAACAGATCATAAAAAATGTGAGTCAAATTGACAATAATTAATTTTGCCTAAAGTAGTGGTTGTCATTTCATTCAATCTTTCATAAGTATTTTTAGTTCTTGATGCATACATAGCTAAACTGCATAGTGGTTACGTGCTATCGTTTAACAGTTCGTAAATTGCATTACTAACTATTTAAGAACTGGGAATCAGAGCGTGTTACTACTTAGAAATAGATTACCATAATCTCACCATGGTGACTAAATCATGTTATGAGTAATCGGCCAATACTTAGTGTCTTACATTTTTAGCTTTAATCCACTTTGAATAATTATCAAACCCTTATATCTTGTAATCGATGATACATTTCTCACAACCAACATGAATAAACGCACTATTTTTCTGGGTTCCTAATATTTTTGAGTTTTTTTTCAAATTCAGTCACTAGTGTACAGATTAATTCCATGAACATTGATATTGTTAATATAGTCAAAGTTATATTTGATGTCATAGACTAAATGCAACTTCAGAAGTTATTCTGCCAAATAAAAATAATTTTTTTAAATTAATAAACAGAACAAATTTCAAAAACAATTATTTACTGAACCAACGAATGTATTAATGATACTGTCATTGAAAACTCAATCAGATTCTCATAGACGATTGAATTGTTAGATTTTAGGTTGAATGTCAAGTACGATAGTCAATGGTCAAAAATGCATTCATACATATATTTGGTTTCAGTTATGTTCATTGACATGAAACATTCGATAGATGAAATAATATATCTTTACTCAAGTACCTAGAAAAGTTTAATGGTTTTTAATCTTGCGGAGATGGTTAGAAGTAGTTGTACTATATATTCAATGTACATAATTGAGAATTAGACTACTCCTACTCCGTTGTTGGCTGGTTGTAACATGACTATTATTCTCGATGACTGGATGCCTAGCGGACAAACTTTTCATGCCAAGTAGTCCGCTGCATTTATCAGGATTCTCTTCACCAAATTTTCTTCAAGTGGAATAAGTCAGTAGGGCATGTGTACAACATTGAAGAAACTGATACTTATTATGGGGATCACTAGCGAAGTACTCGAACAGCAACTTATTGACTATTATTTGCTAAATAATTTGTGTAAACAATTCAGCTCCATGACAGATGCAACAACCTAAACTATGTGCCAGGTCAAATTTTCCACAATCTTATGGTAGTAAAACAGATTTCACAATATTTAATTTTCAGTTATAGATTCCAGAAAAATGTTTTTTTTATTGAAACAGAAATCTTTTCACATAGAATGATATATCTAACCAAATATACCTGGAGTGCTTAATGGTAATACTTAACCACTATTTTGTAAATAAACTTCAAACAATAAATGTGTGCTCTTAAAAATGAACAAACTGTAAAGTAATTATATTTGCTTAATAGTTCGCACTTTCAAAAAGGCTCAAATGATTTCACTCTACTACTAATTACCGATCAACTTTGCTATAATCATTTTGACATGAAAACTAGACAAATAACTCGTTCAAAAAATAACAAATCAAGTGTACTAATAATTGACAAGCTGTTTGTGTCAACTGTTGCTGTACAATATATAATAATGTGCAATATATAAAAAAATTAAATAAAAGAGTTATCTTATTGAAGTTTCCAAAATAATGAAATGCGATACGTATAAACTCCAAAACACTTGATAGAGATATGGATTCTGGTAATAAAATTAACTATAATGATATTGCCAGACCTGTTTAAACGAGGATGTCATGAACAGTGAGAAAACGTTTAAATAAACCGAAAATATGTCATAAGATACCTAATTTCATAAAGTTATTTATTTATTTACTAAGTTTAATCTTTTTAAAGTGACAGGATTATCTAATTTTGTGCTTTTTTTTTGTTTTTGTATTTTGAAGTTGTATTTAGTTCAAACGACACGTTACAATATCATTCAAAAACTGAACTATTTCTACAAACTCCAATCACATACTCTAATCATACATATATTATCAAAGAAGTAACGATAGATTGGAAAGAATATAAATTTCTGTTTGTGTCAGCTATATTTGCATTTCTTACATTGATTGGTATACAGATAATTTTATGCAGTTTTTGGTTACCTAATTCAATTGTAAACAAATTTTCGAAATATTTCAAAAAATGTAAACGTAAAAGAACGCACGAATTTCAATTGAATCACATAGGTTACAAATATGAAATAAAAAGTTTGAATGTAGACAATGGTATTTCTTCAATGCCCAAAATAAATTCATCAAATGAATGCAGCATCGTAACAAACCCACACCAATGTACATGTTCAGCTGAACCAATTGTTACACATACACACTGACATAAATATGTTTAAAACAGAATTCTTAATATTCGTAAAAGTTTATTTTACAATGTTGTGTTCTGTGGTTAGATTAGTGGATATACATAGATGAATTTAAAAACTATTGTCGATTAGTGATTCAACAATACTTTGTATAAAATACGAGAATACAGTGATAATTATCACAGATCCTTATTATCAATTATGTATTTTGATCAGTGAAACTAAACGAACGTGTATTGATTTTTAATAACAATACGAACAATTCCCGTAGTAATCTTAACTTCCATAGTAAATCAAAATTAAAATGAACAATTATATTTATCTAGTACGTAAACTATTTGTAATGGTTAATTAATTTATGAGTCTAGACATTACAACAGTTCGTTGGAATATGTACCTATAATTTAAGCTTTAGCAATTAACTCATTCCTTTCTTTCGAATATTTATTTCAAAAGTTTTTATGTGACAGTTCTATTTTCAATAAACTTTATGACTATAACCTATATAACTGTCTACATACTACATCATGTATGTATTTGGATTCAAGCCAATATGCTAATTATAGAGTAAATTACTTAAGTTCATATTTTTTAAAATAGGATGGCTACTGTGTAAGCATATTATTTAACGTCATCAGACAGATCAGTTTGCTATAACAATATATTTCCACCTTGCAATGTTGTATAACGTTCAATGTACATACCTAGTCATTTAATCGTATAGTTTTGACTATAGGAGTTGGAAATAAAATGTAGCGCAAGAGATTACCTTTGATCATCTCAAACCACCTAATGGATGAAATTTGGTGCTAAGTGTTCAACATCTAGTCATCATTATTCCTTATGAGTTTCCACGGGGAAAATGAATATAAATAGATCTTATTTGATTAGGTTTATTTGTGAATACAAAACTAAGGTGGTATTTCTTTACTATAAATGTCAAGCTGAATTTTTTTTGCTTAGATTAATATTCTTCTGAACGATTCTTTATTGTTTTGCATTATGTTACTGACTATAAATCAATAGTATGAGTTAAAATTGTAATGGAAAAAAGAACTCTATATTTCATCGGCTTTCCACTTTGAAAGTATTTTTTTATTGTTTGTATTGTATTTTTAAAAAAAAACTCAGAAAACGTGTAAAACTGACATCTTACAACTGTACATTTCATGCAAACTTTTCTTGAGATATCATGTTCAACAATGCGAATCGTCAATAAAAAGTATTAATTTTATGCCTTTCATGATGTGACAGGATACAGTTTTAAATTTTATTCTTGGAAATTTCTATCATGATTCATCAAGCTTGCAATTAAACAGCATATTACACATGGCTGAAATTTAAAAAAAGAATCTTCAATTTCATCCTTTTAATGACGTCAAAACAATAATATGTTAAAATGAACATTGAACAGAAAGTGATTGCATGCTCATGATGGTGTTGACTTTTATTAAAATAATGCGTAGTACATGTTGAAAATAAATTGCAGTGGGAATTCACAAACGTAACTGTATATAAACTTCTAATTGAATGTTTGATAAGAATGTTGCTCGATTCAAAATGTACACTATCTTGCATCTATTTAAGCTAATGTGATAAATACTTATTTTGATTCTACAATTATTTTACTGCGATTGCCTTAACTAAACATCATATTCATCTTTATTTAGTCTAGATAATTTGTCATGGTTAAAAGACACTATAAATGTTTTACAAAATGAACAATGCGAGATTCTGCGAAAAAATGTTTTATTTTTTTGACATGAGTTTACACTGCAATAGAGATGGAAGGTGTTTTTTGCCTTTTCTATTGAAAAATTGTCTTTCCAAACTTCTTGCAGTTAAAACATTTTGTTTTCATACTTACTTTTGATAGAGGTTGATGAAATGAGTGAGAATTTTTATCACAGACTAACGTGTAAGCTGAAAGGAAGATAGTTTATCATATTCTCCACTTTGTTTTCAACTTAAAAACCGCGCGAGAAATTTATCAAACAGCTGAATGTAGAAGCCATGACTTGTAAGTTTTAAAATTCCCTATAGAAGTGGATCAACATTCGGAAATGTGGTCCCGTGGTAGTTAGTGACCAACAATATACCACTTTTATCTCTCAGGATTCTGAAGTCTATGTGCAATATTGTTTTAGAATTAGGCTTTTCCAATAATTCTAGACGGATCTTCAGTATTCACCAACTCGGTTCAAGCACCAGACATTCGTTTCTCTTCCTTTAGATTCAGTAAATAACACCTCTCTGAGCAGGCACTGAGTGGAACTTCCCTGGTAGTGATTATATACGCATGACATATATATATGTATATATACATAGTATTCGAAGCTGTAGCAGTTTCAATCATGGCTTAAGATGTTGAGGATAAATATAATAATAATAATAATAATAATAGTAATAATAATGATATAATAATAATTTAATGTTATATATATATATATATATATATATATATATATATATAACACTAATTCGTTTCAAATTATATTTATCCTCAACATCTTAAGCCATGATTGAAACTGCTACAGATTCGAATACTATGTGATTCCTCTTGATAATTCAGTATCCCTGTAGTAATATCGTGTAGCAAACTGAACTAGAACATATGTGTTCTAGACTCTACATTATTTGTAGCTGACTGATAATGCAGCGAGAGGTTAAGTTGATCTTAAAACAGAAAATACATTCCCTTTACGCTCAGAGTGAAATAATTTATAAAAATAATAAAATCAGGATTTACAATTTATTGAACACTTGTGTTAATTAAGATCTATCGTAGTAGTAGTAGTAGTAGTAGTAATAGTAGTAGTAGAAGTAGAAGTAGTAGTAGTAATAGTAGTAGTGTGGTGCTGTGGTGCGAACTACTTATAAGTAGTATATAGCGTGAGTGTCAACGTAAAGTCTGGTAGCATAATATGGGGGGAAGATCAAGAAAGGAAGAGTCAGAAAACAATGGAATTTGTATGAAACGCATGAAGAGTGACAATGGATTGATGTTTGGCAACAGGAACAGTCCAGTTCCATAGGATGAACTGATCTTTTGCAAATGAACGATTTACGATATGGTTTTCCGATTTTACTGAGTAACTCTGTAATTTTCGTTAAATACAATTCGGTTGCCTCCACCTGTGTTCTCATTCACTACAGTAGTAGTAGTAGTAGCAGAAAATACATTCCCTTTACTTAAACAGTTACTTTACAATTGCTTCTGGTTTTCAAGTGGTCTACATTAATGACCCTTTTAGAAGTAAAATACTAGATGAACGCTATACGTTTCAGACTACCAGATGGGGACTGATCGGCTTTCATATATATTTTCCTCTAATTTCTCATACAGTGATCGTTAACCAACCTTATTTGTGAGATACTGCATCACTGCCAACTTCATTCACTATGAAGTTTCATACTACTAAATGACTAGGGCTGTACCACCACTAAACACCAAGAAGCAATGCACAGCTACTTTTTTATAACATGGAATTTCTCAGTAGTGTAGATTCACGACCTTCTAAGGAATTAAGCACAAGCCTTTAAGTCTCACTTCTAATTTCTACAGGTTTAATTTACTGGTCACAGATTTTTATTAAAACGAGAAATTCATCTCAAATACAGTCATTAGTGATTAGAAACTGATTGTACATTGTAGAGAATTTTCCAAATGGAAATAAAATATTTGTTTGGTATCTTTAGTTTTCAAAGGATTTCTAGCTTGCTAACTATGAACTACAGGAATATCTACTATCCAAAACATTTATGTAAGAACAAGGTAAATGTTTAAACTAACATCAACTTACTTAATTTTACAGGTTCGTGTGCATTAGAAAATGATGGATAAATTCTTTGGTTAGAAATTTATATTGAAAATCATTTTTTGTATCTTTGATTGACACTTTATTATTGATTTCATTAAAATATAACTTTAAAAGAGTGTCTTGTTTTCTTTTCAAATCAGATATCTTTCCGACTAGATTTACATATTGATACATTAGTGAACATTGATTTTCTTTTGAAAAAACATTGAACAGAATCTTTTGATCATTAAATTGAATAAGTTGATTTTCCAAGTGAAGACTATTGTTCGAATTTAAATGACATGATATATGACTATGTGTGATTGGGTTATCCAAACACATCAATTCTTGATTCTTAACTTCAACATTAATACACCTTTATGGAAAAGGAGTACAATTTGTCAATAGAAACGAGTTAATCAGTATGAAAAACGCTCAGAGTGAAATAATTTATAAAAATAATAAAATCAGGATTTACAATTTATTGAACACTTGTGTTAATTAAGATCTATCGTTTGGCTTGATTCAAATATTATCTAGAATTCAGAGCACAAATTAATGACCAGTAAGGTTGGTTAGAGAGAACAAAAAGCTTAAATGAACACTGTACAATTTTTTATTAGGAAAAATATTGTACAACCAGATGGAAGAACAGTATAAATGAATTCAATATGCTTCTTATATATATATATATATATATATATATATTTGCTCCGGTGTTGCCGACAATCTAATGTTACTCAGCCTGATTGAAGATAATGAAGGTTAAATGAAAGTAGTTGAATAAGATTAAACAAAGTTCAATTGTACAAACTGATCAACTCCAACAAGGACTGATATATAGTATTTACAAATTAGCAACCTTCTGCTTTTAAAAGTTATAAATTTTCCATGTAAATATTTATAGCAATGTTTTTCATTTTGTGTAGTATTTTACTCATAATTCATATGTATCCACATAATCTTATTGAACGTGTCATGGGTCTAAACTGCAAAGACAGTTGATCAGTAATGAACAAAATATGATTTAGTGTATATTGGTCATATTACGTCAGTACAATGAAAGATAGAAAACAATTGAAATAATTGTAATATCAATGATAGTGAGAAAGATAATTCACCATATTTTTTATTTTATTGGAACGCATAAACTTTGGCACAGAGGGAAACTTAGTATTTATACATCACACGAATTATTAAATTCGTGAGTGAGCTATGATAATACCTGGGTAACCAAACCGAAACAGGTGGTTTTCTTGAGGAGCCAGTCCTCGAGCCTTGGACTAGGAGGCTTAGTCCACAACGCAGTGGAGCAATGTCAGAAGTTGCAGTCACGTGATAGCCGGTGGCCAACAATAGGTTCATACGCCACTAGATATATCAGAATCCAGGAGCCCGTCTGCACCAGTGATTTAGAATTAGGGATTTCCAACTCATCTAAGTGGATTCCTTGTTTCCACCAACCAGGTTAACGCACCGGAAACTCGTCTTTTGTCCTCTCAATTCGGTAAACAACACCGTGCCACGATAAGGCAGTGAATAGGTCTATTTATCTGGAATTAACTGTACACACGTGACCACTCGAGAGCCTTTTGAGAAAGACCGGACTCTCCCCATCCATGGCAGTACCACGGAATTTACGAGCGATTTATCATATAGACAGTAAAGATACACAAATAACTCATAAGATAGAAAATAACATCGAACTATGAAGTCTAAGTGGTATCATAAGATTAAAGATCATTATGAAGATGTCATATTTAAATGGTGCAATACCACGAAAGTTATCTAATTGTGGATAGGTAGATGAAGCTGATACAATAATGTGACTTCATATAATACTGGTCATTAGTAAACCAATGGAAATTAATTTTAGCGAACTTCTATTTCAACTAGAAACTGAAAGAAAAATACACCACAGGAGTATAATTTGACTATTTTGGTCAATAAGTTTTTTACTTATTTTCACATCACAGTTGAACTTACATCCAAGTCGTAGATAGCTAGTTATGAAATGTAAATGATGAATGAGAATAACTTACTCAAATGTTTTGTCTAAACAGTTTGCACATTCTTTATATTCTTTATAGTATTGTTCACATGATATTCTCAAAGAATTACATTGTGAACACTGGCAAATGCTTTTATTGAAAATAATAGTTTGTAATTCATGATTTTTCATTATTGATATTGTTGATTCGTTATCTTGATGAGAGGTAATTATTGTGTTTGGAAACTCTTTCCTGATAGTTTCTCTGAGAAAATGTAAAGAAACAGACAGTAAGGCTACATGGGGTTCATAGATTTAACAACCCAAGAGTGTTATCGAATTACTTTTATTGTTATTAATAGTAGTAGTATCAGTAGTAGTAGTAGTAAAAGTAGTAGTAGTAGTAGTAGTAGTAGTGGTGGTAGTAGTAGTAATAGTGTTAGTAGTAGTAGTAGTAGTAGTAATAGTAGTAGTAGTAGTAGTAGTAATAGTAGTAGTGTGGTGCTGTGGTGCGAACTACTTATAAGTAGTATATAGCGTGAGTGTCAACGTAAAGTCTGGTAGCATAATATGGGGGGAAGATCAAGAAAGGAAGAGTCAGAAAACAATGGAATTTGTATGAAACGCATGAAGAGTGACAATGGATTGATGTTTGGCAACAGGAACAGTCCAGTTCCATAGGATGAACTGATCTTTTGCAAATGAACGATTTACGATATGGTTTTCCGATTTTACTGAGTAACTCTGTAATTTTCGTTAAATACAATTCGGTTGCCTCCACCTGTGTTCTCATTCACTACAGTAGTAGTAGTAGTAGTAGCAGTAGTAGAAGTAATAGTAGTAGTAGAAGTATTATGGAAACTGATTGATACAACATAATAGCATATTAATAGAAAACTATTGAAGTGGTAAGGATCTCTCAACTTTCCTAAAAGTATAAACCGTGGAAGGTACCTATAAAAATTAAGGGAATGCAGATAGCTGAATACTACTAAGCTCTTACTGTAAGACCTAAAGACCGAAGTTTGGATACGTAACTAGTACATTGGTGTACATTTACTAAAGAGTTTTAGTCAAGAGTAAGCATTTTTTCTGATACAAAGTGGTTTTAAATGATAAACGAATTCATGTCACAGGTGCTTTTGAAAATTTCGAGGTTTTTATAAACTATAACTGTCTAGATATGCATCATTAATTTCAATGAATAGTTTAAGTGATATGAAATAAAAGTGAAATTGCCTAATGAACCATGTTATATTATTTTTTCATACACTACCGATGGTCATTCAAGTCAATCAGTATATCATACATCATATTGTAGAACAAAACCCTGGATCATTTATATTATACTAGTAATTAACTAAAGATTGTTTCTTCGTCGTGTTGGTTTCTTTTTTAAATAGAAATGATTGTATTTCTTCGATTCCCCACTACGTCTAATATTTCAAGTTACTTTTGTGACTTTTTATCAGATGACATTTTTTATGCCAAGGATATGACATGTATAATTTATTCACAGAAAAAAGCTACTTCATTCTACTGGCAAGCATAAATCAAAAACCGTCAATTAATTTGGTACAAAACGCCCCGACAAAAAATTAAAACTTACAAAAAACTCAGATTTAGTGTACAAGGATTAGATTGAATATCTAACACACAATTACGCGGTAAAAAGTTTGTTCCTTTGATGACGGATTCAGTTTCTAAAATGCGAAATAATAAGAAAAGGACTAACAAAGTGTTTTATTCAGAAAAACTTACAATCAACATCAAACTATATTGACTTAGTTAGGGGAAAGCACTCATTTTCATTATAAAGGATTTATGAAGACCAGACTAAAATGTGCGTTCCCAAAGTTTTAGTAAGAAGTTATGATCGATGGAGTTTAGTTACCTTAAAAATAACCTACTCATCACAAATGTGATTAAATGGTCAACCAAAAACATCGGTAGGCTCTCCAAGTTACAAATGAGTCAGCAACGCTAAATTAAGACCCTGTAGGGCTTGAAAGCCCTAGGTTGTATCCTTGATGGAATTGTTTCTGCATACTTATGAGAAATCCCATGCAGTAACGAGATAGATGCTTAGTTGTCTTGGATTTCCCGTGAAATTATAATTGATGCTAATCAATGTTGAGAGCACTCACATATTTTCAGTATGTTCCCATGCATAAATATAATGTAGTTTATTGGAAATAAAACAAAACATTGGTTTTCAGTGATATGTGGAGTTTAGTCCTGTCTACAATGGGAAAAACATAACCATTATCAACACACAACTGTTTTGTGATGATCGTTTGATTATAAGTCAGTCATACGCAATATAGTGCCTGTAATATCTATGTATTGGTTCAAGTTGCCACACCCCACATTTTAGGCGAGATGTAGCATCGATTTTTGTCAAAATTGTTTCATAAAATATATTTTAACGAAATATTCTTTTGTAAAAGACAGTCGCTTTACTTACCATGTATCAAATTATGACTGATTATAAGCTTTTGCAACAATGGAAATGGTAGTATAGGTAATTTACTTATCCTAAGAAGAACAAAAAAGACAATATGAAACTGTATTTACTAAACTTATTCTTTTGCATAATTTTATCAAAATTAATTACTGTATTCTCGGAAACAGATAAAGGCTATCGTATCCAGCTATTTTAATGATTTTTGCATCCATTGGTTGGATGAAAACAGTGTGTTACTCAGTAAACTTTATTAATGGTTTCAATATAAGCCCGAGGTTTTGGTAGATTTAAATTTTCCACCCTTCATATCCTATTTAGGTGTATTAGATACGTCGAAAGAAGACAGCTAGAGTTCGAAACTAACCGATTTAATTTTTATATTTTCTTAACAAATAAAAGACTTTTTATACAATAATAAGAAATATTGACCATACGAAATAAAATGAAAACTACTAATAAAAAGATGAAGTATGTTATCAATTAATTTATGATTTATGTTATTGAAGAAATGAACATCAATCTTAAAAATTAATTACCTGTTATGGCTCACATTCAGAAAAATAAGATTTGGTAACCAACTTTCACTCAACCAATTTATTGATGTTAAATTATTGCGATCTAATATCAGTTCTTGTAACAAAACTCCAAAAATTCCTGTTTCAAATGGCTAGTAAATGAAGAAATCACTTAATTAGTTTTACGAAATTACACAACAGTAAACATATAAATTTTTTTTGAATAAAATGACATTGAGAATACTTGGTTACAATTAAGGTAATAAATTTATAATCATTAGACTTATCAAAGTACAAATCAAACAATGATCACTGCTAAACAATATGTTGGTCTGCGCCAAAAAATGATGCTCTTGAAATAAAAGTTACATCATTGACTCAAAAAAATATGCAGTAAGTTCATTCATTATATTAAAAAAAAGAATCAACCGGGGCAATTCATATTGTATTTTTTCAAGCACCTTTTCTCGTGATATAACAGAGAAATAAATTTACACTTTGTTAATTGAAATTTATTCGATAAAATTCAATATTTACTCCTGCTTTGCATGCTGTTGCAATGTGTGTGAGTATCAAATTAGATCAAGAAAGCTACTCCAAAAGCGTTAATTATTACTGTTTCTCCAGCTGAACTTCATTTTATGATCAAACTACATAAACTCTAAAAGACCATTTGAATTGTATGAATAAGCATGAGAAATAAAATTAAGAGATACAGAAACTGTATGATATTTAAAATAATCACATAGGACCCCAAAATAATTTAATGTATACATGCTATAGCACTTAACTCCGCCAGTAGAACCTTCGGAGCTACTGCCGGTCCCAAGCCCGGGTAAAGGAGGAGGGTTGGACATGGGGTTGGCGACCCCATTCCGTCGAAATCTCACTTGCCAAAAAAACGCTAACCAGAAAAAATAATTCAAACCATTTTAACTCTGCCCTGGGAGTTGGAAGAAGAATTATGACGTCGCGTGATGAAAGCTGAGTCCCCTCGGAAGTCACGGGGCCGATGCCTCTTCTGACAACCAGATCAACCATTTTTTTAGGTACATGGAACGTTCGTACATTGTGGGAGACTGGAAGACTATTTCAAGTTGCTGCAGAAATGAAAAGATACAACCTCGAGGTGCTCGGCATCAGTGAAACATATTGGACACAGGTAGGACAACTGAGACTAGCTAGCATCAGGGGGACTGCTGTTACACTCTGGTCATGAAGAGGAAAACGCTTCACATACACAAGGAGTTGCACTGATGCTGTCCAAATATGCACAAAAGGCACTGATAGGATGGGAATCTCATGGACCCAGGATCATCAAAGCATCCTTCAAAACAAAGAAAGCAGACATTACAATGAACGTCATCCAATGTTATGCACCTACCAATGACTACAATGACGACGTTAAAGATCAATTCTACGAAAGGCTGCAGTCAATCGTCGAGAAATGTTCACCAAAGGATTTGACAATTCTATGGGAGACCTGAATGCCAAGGTTGGAATGGACAACACTGGATATGAAGACATCATGGGACGACATGGACTGGGAGAAAGGAACGAAAATGGTGAGAGATTTGCAAACCTATGGGCATTCAACAAGCTGGTAATCGGCGGAACGATATTCCCACACAAGCGCATACACAAAGCTACATGGATTTCACCAAACCACACTACTCAAAACCAAATCGACAATATCTGTATCAATAAACAGTTCAGAAGGACCATGGAGGATGTGAGAACCAAGAGAGGAGTTGATATAGCATCAGGTCACCATTTGCTGATCGCCAAAATTAAACTGGAACTCAAGGAACACTGGACAGCGGGGCAGAGAACATCACACAAGTTTAATACAGCCTTTATTCGGGATACCGTAAAACTCAATGAATTCAAGATAACCCTCAGCAATAAGTTCCAGGCCCTGAAAGAACTCCTCACTGGAGAGGAAACAGCTTCGGAGAAAAATTGGAAAGGGAATTAACATGTTACGAAGTTCTGGGTCACAAGAAGTACCATCACAAGGAATGCATATCTGTTGATACTCTTGCAAAAATTGAAGAAAGGAGGAACAAGAAGGCAGCAATCAATGTCAGCCGAACAAGAGCAGAGAAATTTAAGGCACAAGCTGCATACACAGAAGCAAACAGGGAAGTGAAGAAGAGCATCAGAGCTGACAAACGAAAATATGTGGAAGATCTAGCAATGACGGCGGAAAAGGCTGCAAGAGAAGGAAATATGAGACAATTGTACGAAACAACAAAGAAGCTCGCCGGGAACTATCGTAAACCAGAACGACCAGTGAAAAGTAAGGAAGGCAAAGTAATCAGCAACACTGAAGAACAGCGACATAGGTGGGTAGAGCACTCTCAGGAACTCCTGAATCGACCAGCTCCACTGAACACACCTAACGTCGAAGCAGCATCCACGGACCTCCCAATTAATATTGGCGCACCTACGATTGAGGAGATCAGTATGGCCATCAGACAAATCAAGAGCGGCAAAGCAGCAGGACCAAACAACATTCCAGCAGAGGCAATGAAAGCAGATGTAGAAGCAACTGCCAAAATATTTCACATCCTCTTCAAGAAGATTTGGGATGAGGAACAAGTACCATCAGATTGGAAAGAAGGATACCTCATCAAAATACCAAAGAAAGGCGATCTCAGCAAGTGTGAGAACTACAGAACTACAGGCAAAGTCTTCAACAGGGTATTGTTAAACAGAATGAAGGACTTCGTAGACGCCCAACTTCGAGATCAACAGGCAGGATTCCGTAAGGATCGATCGTGTACTGACCAAATTGCTACATTACGGATCATTGTGGAACAATCAATCGAATGGAACTCACAACTCTACATCAACTTCATTGACTACGAGAAAGCATTCGATAGCGTGGATAGGAAAACACTGTGGAGGCTTCTTCGAAACTACGGTGTGCCTGAGAAAATAGTTAACATCATACGGAATTCTTATGATGGATTCAACTGCAAAATCGTACACGAAGGACAGCTAACAGACTCTTTCGAGGTGAAGACCGGTGTCAGGCAAGGTTGCTTACTCTCACCCTTTCTCTTTCTCCTGGTCATCCACTGGATTATGAGGACGCCGACATCTGGAGGGAAGCACGGTATCAACTGGACAGTTAGGACGCAGCTGGACGATCTGGACTTCGCAGATGACTTGGCCCTTCTATCGCACACTCAACAACAAATGCAAGAGAAGACGACTAGTGTAGCAGCAGCCTCTGCAGCAGTAGATCTCAACATACATAAAGGAAAAAGCAAAATTCTCCGATGCAACACATGCACCAACCAAATCACTCTTGATGGAGATGCCTTGGAGGACGTTAACACCTTCACATATCTGAGCAGTATCATTAACGAGCAAGGTGGATCCGATGCAGATGTGATGGCGGGAATTGGCAAAGCAAGGGCTGCATTTCTACAGTTGAAAAATATCTGCAACTCCAAACAACTTTCAATCAAAACCAAAATCAGGATATTCAATACAAATGTCAAGACAGTTCTACTGTATGGAGCGGAAACATGGAGAACTACCAAAGCCATCATCCAGAGGATACAAGTGTTTATTAACAACTGTCTACGCAAAATACTTCGGATTCGTTGGCCAGACACCATCAGCAATAACGAACTGTGGGAGAGAACAAACCAGATTCCAGTGGAGGAGGAAATCAGGAAGAAGCGGTGGAAGTGGATAGGACACACATTGCGGAAAGCACCTAACTGCGTCACGAGACAAGCCCTCACATGGAACCCCCAAGGCAAAAAGAAAAGAGGAAGACCAAGGAATGAACAAACATTGGACAGAACTGGAGAGGGAAGTCCAGGACAGAGTTGGTTGGAGAAGACTGGTGGGCGGCCTATGCTCCATTGGGGGTAACAGGCGTAAGTAAGTAAGTAAGTAAGCTATAGCACTTATTCTTGTATTGGTCATTAAAACAATACATCACTATTTTTGAATCCAAATATATCTATCGTTAGTTGGATATCATGGAGAACAACAGATATTTGTCTGTTAGACACATTCACGTAAACAAGTAAATCTAATATCCTCAAACTCATTCTTTGAATCTCACAGTTTGTTTTCAATTTTCGGGTTAACACTTAAAAAAGCAAAACTTCATGACGAATAATGTATATGTCCACTAGGATAAGGATTCCCAACTCCAACTTTGATGACAAGGAATAAAACTGCTTCCTATCCTCTCCTCTCTGCTTGTAAATTGAAGATGGAATCCCACATATATTCAGAAGATTAAATAACGTACAAGCTCCAAATAAATGTACATTTACTGCACCCTTGAAAATTGAGAAAATAGCATACCAATATATAAGCGAACAACTAAGCTGATTCCGTCCTTCTACGTGGAAGAAACCAAATACTATTAACGTTAAAAATTTAGATACGCTTAACACTAAAATAAAATGTACATAAAATATATCACGAAAGGATGTTTTACACGATATTTTGAGAATCTGTCATCTCAGATATTTTTAAAAACCTATGGAATAACACATTTAAGACGTACCTTATTTAAAGTATTGGATGATAATTTTAAGTGAGTAACATTTGTAACTGATATTAAATCTTTGTCAATAGCAGTTATTTCATTATCTGATAAATCTAACATATTAAGATTCTCATTAATCCGTTTCGTTTCCGAAGACTTCAATTGTACACAGGTTATGAGATTACTTGATGCCGACAGTTGATAGAGTTTAGGAAATGAAATTATCAATTTTTGTATATCTAAGAAAAAAAGATAAACGATTATTGTAATAGAGGTTTTAGATATTTAAACAGTTAAAGCTATATGACACATTAACATATTTTTGAGGATAGTTAGACCCATTTATAGTGTACAAATGACTTCGAAAGACATTGTAATCCCTCTTCAGAAAAATAAAAAAAACCATTGAAAATCATAATTATCAGTCTGAAATTTCAGATAAATAGCCAATGTCAGAAATGAGACAGCCATCATGTGGAGACCTTTGAATGATCCTCACATTGTATAATGGACCCGATAAATATTTGAATGACATAACTCGGTAGTCTAAAGATAATGCATTCACCGTAGTATCTAAAGACCATAAACTCAATCCCTAACTGATTTACTGCTTTTTACACCAGAAAAGTCATTTACTAAGCAGATACAACTATCCACTACTATGCAGTTTCTAACAAAACATTTGAATAATCCTAATCTGAAGCGACTATTACCCACAAACCAGTCGGTTCCTAGTTTGTTCACGGGATAGGAAGATGTCAAATTTTATTAAGAAAATTAAATAGTAATTATGTTTGCCTTGTTTTTTAATAAAAATCCCAACCTAATTTATTCTCAATTTCAAATTCATCATCATACTTTTCACAATTTTTTGAAAACTTACCCAAAGTTGTAATATAATTTGATGAAATATCTAGTATTAAAAGATTAGGGAATAATCCCATTATATCGGAAAGTTTAGTCAATTTATTGTGTGCCAATTTCAATATAGTTAACTTGGACAAATTCATTTCACTTAGGTTCACTGTATTCAGATGATTTCTCTATAATAAATATATTAGAAAACAATTTGACTATCAATCAAACTATTATTTTCATATTAAAATTGCAATAATTTTTAAGAACAGAATTTTTCGACCGCATTTTGTTTTGAAAACTGAAAGGATTATTTTCCTAAAGATTCAAGAAAGATGCAGAAAAAAAACTGGTAAAATCAATAATGCACAACTGTCAGTTCATTGGTTTTTTCGTTTAATGGCAATCATCATTGAGGTATTTATTATTTCAATAATTTCATACTATTATTCGGACAGATGTCATTCATTTTACAAATCAATTGAGTTAGTCTGATAATGTGATTGACTTGAGTTTCTTTTTATTTTCTTCATAAATTTTTGTAAGAAAGCTCACCTTCAATACAGAATCGATTAAGATTAGTATAAAGTTTCAGAAATGCATTTTCATTCATATTATTAGGAAATTAATAAGTCAGTTTCATTTAATAAGTTATTTCCTAATCAGTAGTGACAACTACCTAGTTGAAAAATCTAGTACATTACAACATTACTTCATCACACAAATCGGTGTCAAATTAACTTATCTTCTCACTAGCTTATATCGAGTCATGTGTGCACCAATGTGTAGTTTCTTTTGACGTGCAAAACCGATTTGCGGTAAGTCAACAGAATACAACTGCGTTCAAGTTATTACAAGCAATTTATGCTCCCGGTTACAATTCCTAATAACCATTACCAATCTACAAATTCAACCGCTTTTATCACGTCAGTTTTCAGTGATCCGTGATCTGACTTCATATTTTATTAACAACTGAGTATACTATGAAATCAATTTTTCCCTCAAATTCCACACATCATTCTTAGGTGAACGCATTTTATGAGACGGCGGTAATAAGAAGCCAAATACGTATTCAGTAGGATGAGTTTATTTTGTGTTATCGTTCACGCACACAGACACGAGGACAAGAAGCAGGGAAGCGAAGTGAAGTGGAGATGAGTGAGCCAACTCAGTGTGATGAGATATGACTATGTATCTATAGTCAGAACAAAAATAGGCTAGACATGTGACAAGTGAAGCAAGCAAATAATTGACAAGGTTGAAAGATGTGTGAATAATAACCCGAAAAGAATGGATTAATTATGTTGTCCAAAGGCTGGGTTAAAGCCATGTGGACTCAACATACTAGTGCATACTACAAGTTAGAAATGAAGTCAAACAGAAACGTTTACAGTCATTTAAAATTTTCCAGGTATTTTTAAATGTTCATACGGTTTACTTACACTAGCATCCAAAAATTCCAAATTATCCAGTTGAATTATTGCTTTAAGATCATTTGATTTCAAATCACATTCATTTATTATCAGAAATTTTAAAAATTTGAAATATTTTGATATACTACTGAAGTTTGTGCCTTCAAATTTAACATTGAACAAGTTGAGACATATTGCCTAAAACAGAAATAGGCATTATAAAAATTAACTTTTCGATAAAAATATATACTTCACCAAAAATCTATCGAGTTGATAATATTACTCTCCATAAAATGACAATGAGCATTGAAAAAAGGCTATCAAATCCATGGATAATACATGGGTAAGTAAAAAAGTAACCCAACTTCATAGTGGTTCAGTTTTCTGATGAATTAATGATTTTTTTCTGAAGGAAGTTTTCAAAAATGGAAACTCTATCAATATGTTTTTATCTCTTGAATTATTCATAAATGTTATTACTCTGCTTTTATGATGCCTAAAACCTAAATAACTACAGCCCAGATCCTGAGAGAGCATTCAGTTGATAAAATGTTACATTCCTTCAGAGAGCATTTAGAATACAATTTCTGAAATTCTAAAAAATCGAAAATAATAACTGGTACAAACTAATTCAATGAAAACATTCACAGTAAAATAATATTCTTCTCTTCTTATTTCTTGATGGATAAGATGACTTTTAAAATAGCCATATTATTCATGAAATCTACACTTAATTATCAAATAAACTAAACCATGATAAATATATATATTATTTCAATTTGTTCAACAAAGAATATCAAACATATTATCTGTACAATGATTTCTTCGTCAATAGTAAACATTCATTGTTATATGAAGTCGAAAAAATCATTAAATATATATATATATATATATATATATATATATATATATATCTGACAGCTTACTTCATTCGTAACAACAGATGTTTCTGTTGCAACATTGGTATTATGAGAATTTAAATTATGAATTTGTTCGCTAATGGATTGCATCAGATTAGTTGTTTGAATTAATTTACCATTTTGTACAATTTGTGGAGAATTATTCAATCTTTATAAATGAGAAAAGAATAAAAATGAATCAATTCATCAATGGTTCAAATGAATAAGTTTATTATTTATTGAACGATTGCGTATCAATGGCATTGAAATCATTGCAAACAGTTTGATTGTAAACTTTTAATGATTGTGGTTTCGTGTGAATTATTGATTTGAAAAGAAAATATATTATTTCAATAAAAAATTAGTTATAAGACTTCTAATTGTATAGTAAGATTTAGACATTTTTGTCATATGCACGTAAAAATCCAGGATCTCCTTGTTGAATAACTTACACAGAATGTTTTATTTTTAACTAACTCAATATACATTTTTGGAAGTTTATATTGTTAATTATCACTAACCTATTTAATCATTCATAAATTGTATTGTTTGAAGTCCAAAAATATTTGAAAATGCCGCCAACAGTTATTGTGAAATTTTCAATTGAATATAATTTATGCGAATTTATAACATTATAATAAAACATTTTAACTTTTGTTGAATTACAACTAACTCCATTCACACGATTCATGGTATACTCATTAAATTAATAAAGCGCATTTATCTGAGCCTAATGTCGGAGTGCGAAGCTATCAATATTATTTTGCCATTTTTCATCAGCGTTCACTTTAAGTAAGATTCCCACCTGGATTCTCCTCCATTAAATATTGCTGTCCAAAACGATAATGAAGGTTTCACAATTGACTCACACAGTTTAAAAAACTTATCATTAAAAACCTTCACATAAACCACTAATCTTTTGCATAGTTTCAAAATACTTACCAATAAGCAATATCTAATGTTAAGTGAATTTCAGAAAATAAATTGAAATAATTTGATTTTATCTAAACATACGTTTGTTTCTGTTTCAATCTAATATATAATTCAAGACCAGACCTAAGATGTCTTGAAGCGTACAGAGTTTATCTTCTGTCATAGGTAGAATTCTGACCATAACGTTTAAAAGACCTCGGTTGTACTCTCTGATGGATTCATATTGAGTATTACCGTACCAAGATGAAACAGTAGTTAAGTGATCCAGGCTTTTTACTAGCTCTCTTATTGATACCAGTTGCTAAAGAATATCACCTACAAATTAAAATGATCCTCACTGAACTTCAGAATAAAAATAAGTTCTATATTACTCACCAATATTGTTAACAGCACTTCTTTGATACTAATGGCATAACGAGAAATACTAAGTTACTACATATAAAAATGTCTTTCTTTAAAAACTCAGAACACTTCAACAGTCTACTATCAAATTCTAAATTTTAATAAGTTTTATGCATAAGGTAAGAATTATACCTCAAAAAGTTGCTATTGCAATTTTCCAATCCTGATGCGACAGTCTCAGAAACTAAATCGGAATCATCATTTGAATTCTCCTGCAATATTTTCGTAGCACAAGACGTCCTAGACGGTAATTTATAAGTCAAATCGTTGACACCAACCAACTCTACTGTTGTTTCAGTTGAAGGATCAAGGGGAGCTTCTCTCTCATCAGCTCGCTCTGTGGTCACATTATGACTGTCAGGTACTTCAACTGCCAACCTACTAAAATAGTAATTAAAAGAATTACGGGGTTACTTTCATCTAAAGAAATTAGTATCAGAAAATTTGAACTTAATGGGCGTCGTAAATTCAAATGTTTGTAGGATTTGAAATAATGCCTTTTAGATCCTTCTGAATTTAGTTAAAGTTTGGAATTGTGTTTACGGTCCACCTTATTCTTACTTTGAAGAGATATTTACAGACGGAAAAAGAGTATGGTAATGAGGTCACTAGTTTATCCGATTCACGCATTTCTTAGAAAGTAGTGCGATTACAAAATGTGAAAATATACAGAAAGTTTAAATGCAGTATGTAGATGACATTTCTGTCATCAAACAAAATCGTACGGAAGAAATAGTTAGAAATGTAAAAAACATCCGAAAGAATTGGGCCAACTAAGGAGATAGAAATCACTGACCATAGACTATAGTTTCTATATTATTTGGTTCAAAAAAGAGCAATAACACGTCGAAAATTAGTGTTCCGGAAATCAACACATCTTTATACTTATATAACGGGTCAGCTGATGCTTGTTCTACAAAGTTCGCAGTTATAAAAAGACTTGATTAACAAGAGTTGTTATCTTGGTACAGAGAAAAACGACCAACGGACTGAATTGAATTGAAAACTGTCTACATAGGGTAGAAAATGGTAGATAGTGATACCATAAGATCGGCGTTAGTGAAAGCTAAAGATAGGCTTCCAAAGGAAAAACAACAGAATGTTGTCGATGAGATTAATTTCCATCATTGTAATAAAGTTTACGTGGTAGAAAAATCGATACCATTAAATATGAGGTTAAAGGAAGACAAACAGTGTTTGAAACATATACCCGAATTCTCAGTTGATCGCAATAAACTTAAGAATATATGGGTAATAGTGTTACATGTGTTAGAAACAGAACATAAAATCTAGTAATAAGTTAATGTTTAATGTTCTCAAGCGATAATATTATCCCAATCATCCTGGTTCAAGCTATATTTTGATGGTAATTTGACAAACTACCACGATAAATTGTTTCAATTAGTTTTACATAATACATAATGGCAACAAAAAAGCTAGGTAAACACATCAGGGACCACTCAGGAAACACCAAACTAAAAACTAAATAAATATACTCAATAATATATCGAAAGACAAAACTAAAATTATCTCCTTTCAAGAAAACATGTTCATCAATTTGCTCACACATTAGCATCAACCTGCAGTACATACCTATCAGTTTCATCATTAACATTTTGAAATATTAATGAGTCAGTCGCCACAGCTGTACTATACTCATTAGTTATGCTCACCACACCTAGTTCTTCTAAATCACTTAAAGCTGAAGGCGATACGTGAGATACGGATCCAATTTCATTGGCTAGTGTCAAAAAACTTGAGGTACCAAGATAAGAAGCCTCATCATCTTCAACAACGAATTTAGTAGCATTGACAGGAGTTTCAACAGCTGGTAGCTTACTGAAATGCGAAAAAAAGTTGTAGATCCACAATCTAATGTTACTTGAGTAAAATCTTTGAAATTGATATACATCATCGAAATTAATACAAAGATTACCGAAAAGGCAAGGTACTACTGGACATATATTATAATCACCAAGTGGATTAACAGGAAGCATAGAGCAATCATAAAATGAACTACTTGTAGTGAATTAACCAAAGATGAAGAGCATAAACACGAAGTTTCATTGTCTCACAAAATTAATGGGCAATAATAATTCAATAAATAACTAAAATGTGCAAATGAAGTTATTTACTGGTTGTATCAAATACATTTGTGTCAGACAGTACTACATATTTATTTCATTTTGTTCACTAATTTGTTTGATGGATATGATTCAAGTAAAAGCGGAATTATGGAGTCGTTTAGGTAATCAACATTTTTGATTGTGGTTGATTTTCCACCAATTTCTTTTGAGCTTTGATTCTCGTTATTATTTTTTGGTTTACGCTGATTATTTTAAAATGTTGGTTTTCAATGTCTCTCAAATTATTTCATTATTCAACGTATTTCCCGATTGTTGACACTAAGAACTAACGTTGACTAGCCTCTATTCGCACATATGCATCCTGAAAAAACCGCCTTGGTATTATTATCTAGCCATATGCATATAAGTAAAGTTCGACAGTGGCTTGTAGTAAGATAAAGTATTCTCATTTCATGTTATGAGATAAACATCTGGCTAACTGAGTTCACTAGCTCAGTGGATAATATATGTCAATGCTAATAGTGTTGCCTTTTTGACATCGTTCATGAGCAACCGACTAAATGGCATGGTAGATGGTTAACATTTGAATTCGTGTAATTGAAAAAACATAGAAGTATGACTTTATGAGATAAACGTACCCAATCTCTTCGATTTTACATACCAAATTGTTTTCTAAATTAGCGCTAACTGTTTCAACCTTCTTCTGTAAATGACTGTCTAAAAATGGAAAGCCTAGTTATGTAATAAAGACATTCACAACCATCTTTACAACAGCTTCTCTCTTCATCAGGTAAAGTGAAATAATAATAAACAAGATTTCTTTCGAGTAACTTATTTCTATCACAAACTTTTCCGAAATTTGAATGTTGTTCAATGGCAGATTGTGGTCTTCTTTTATATTCATCGTGTAAATATCTTGTTATTAAACTCGTTTGTTCAATATTCAGCAAAGATCTGAAACAAATTTTTAATAAATGATGATATGATTTATATTGTCAATAAGCATAGTGTTTATTAATTAAATAAATATAATTGCGCTGAATTATGCAACCCACATCGAATTCTTGAGGTTCGTTTTTATTTTTACTTTACGATCCCTTGGGTAAAATTCAATAACATAAATATTTCAGAAAACTAAATTCTAACATTGATAGATTTAACTCAATTGATACTGCAGTCTGGACACAATAGAGAATATCAGTAGACCAATTTGACTGATCAGACCATGCAGATAATTAAATTAAGCAAGTCAGATTAGTGAAGTTATTAGTCATGAAGTGGATTTTTCATTTGTAGTTGGTAAAATTCATTTCCTTTGTCTTACACTAACTTAAAAAACTATTAAACTAATCAAACCAATTTATGAATCAGTTATCATAATGAAATAGATTACATAAACTACACATAATAGGTAAAAGTACGAACGATTAGTAGGAATATAGGTGTACAAGTAGTAGTAAGAAAAATAAAGTAACAAAAGTTCTAATCAATAGTTCAACATTGAAAGTATTAAGACAAACTTGGATGAACAAAACAATATTAGGATTGTGTAGTAAGAAGTGTGTAAATAATTAGATAGTGAAATATATAAACGGAAAGAGATGAAAAATAACAAACAAATACATGATCTAATAAAAATAACATACATGTAGTATCCCAGTAAGTAGCAAAGTTGAAATTTTTCGACGTTTCGTGACTCAGTACAAACCACTTCTTCAGAGAATAAATAAACGAAGTAAATTACCTCAAGTTTAAATAATACAAAGGAACAAAGTAAAAGTATTTGACTTAATCAGTAAATCAAAAACAGATCTGATCAAGTCAGTCTCATGTCACTTTGGTCAATATGAGCCAAATGAGATATGCTTGTGTATCTGTGTGTTCACGAGTGTGCAAAAATGTGACATTTGTAGTATGAAAAGATGGAGTTGTATGATAATAGTGAGAAATGTGAAAAGAATCAGATATGGTAACTTGGATCTGTTTTGGTACAACAAGCTGACAGTGGTCATATTGTTGACAAAACTGAAACATTACGAGTGGTCAATAGTATCAGTCAATCAGTTAGCTACAATGCAGAACTTGGTACGTACGTACATCAATACAAGTTGCCACACCAAACTAGCACAGAGAGATGTAGCTTTCAGTTTAAATCCCATAGTAGAAGAGGTTGCAGAAGTATTAGCTCCTAAAAGCAGACGTAGTCTATCGTGTATCTCTATCATTTACCAGTGGACTTCGATCCTGTCTTTACATACAGTAGAAGTTACAGGAATCCGAACTTATAACCCTGTTTTGTGTTCAGAGGAAATCCCTGACATACCTGTCTTTTCCTTGGTCAAATATAACACAATAGATTATTTTTATATTTGTATTTTCACGTCCTACATTAATGTTATTTGTCGTCTCTCTCCATTCGTATTCTTTACTACCTAATTATTTACCCACTTTTTATCCCACAATCCTAATATTGTTTTGTTCATCCAAGTTTGACTTGATACTTTCAATGTTGAACTATTGACTAGAACTTTTGTTACTTTATTTTTCTTACTACTACTTGTACACCTATATTCCTACTAATCGTTCGTACTTTTACCTATTATGTGTAGTTACGTAATCTGTTTCATTATGATAACTGATTCATAAATTGGTTTGATTAATTTTAATATTTTCATATCAACGTGCATGTGTATTAGAATATGATGACCGTCTAATTGTAAACATTATTATCTGCTCAGATCTTGATCCGTGATTGATCGAAAGAAAACCAAGTTCTTCAACAACTGACCAATCTTTTCAAATGAGTTGATATATGTATTGAAGACGATAGTACTGGGTCTAGGACGTTGTGAAATTCCTACATTTTTTTTAAATAACAAAAACCTGGTTAATAATTCTAAGTACTCTTCTAGAAAGAACAAATAAATTCGTTATTTCATGTAATTTATTAGCCATGGTAATGAAAAAACAATCATTATTGTTACTACATTCCAACTATCAGTTCGAAGAATTCCACAACTAACATAAATTCGAAATTACATATTTTGTTGTCAATCAAACAAACATTATTGGACCATAATTAATGAATATACCTACATATTTAGATTTAAATTACTTTGAAATTTTATTATTAAAATATACAAATCTCACCGCCAACGTGGGAATTGGTCATTTGAAGTAAGCATAAATGATTCATTTTTAATTTGTTGAATACGTTTTAAACGTTCTTGTTCAGATTTCATTTCATTTTCTAATTCTTGCAAACGATCCTATTAAGTTTTAGATTTAAAAAATTTCAATGTTAATAACATTATGACATGAAATTCTTGGCAAACGATATGATTAAAACCGGTGCAATAATTTTTATCGAACAAAATATTTTACTTTTTGACAAATAAATTAATCTGTATAATGATGAGTTGAATTCAATATGTTTTGGAATTCAGATTTATTGTAACTATTTAACAAATGTGTTGGATATTGACTTTAACACGTACATTTGTAAACTCAACTTAGCTTACTTTGAAACTACTAGATACACATAACGTTCTGATGAAAAAAATAATTTGCTTCAAACATATACCAACTCATAATGATTGGAGCAAAATATTAGAAGTTAGAATTTTTATAATGTTGCAAGAAAGAGTTAATGTTAAATCTACAGAATCAAAATAGGACAATGTTTATTGATTCAGTCGAAAAGAAATATTTCTTCTCTTTGCTCATCTTTTTACGCAGTACCAAAGTGACAACTGTCAGTTTTAAACTCATGTTCATTTTATTCTGATGCAGTGAAATCTATGTTAATTTTTTTTAACGAACTTACTTTGATATACTCTTCTTCAGAGTTGAAATCAGCAGACTTATCTGGGCTGACTGAATTATCAAACTGATTTTCATTCTGTATAAATAATCAGAAAATAAAATTTATTATTATTCTGTATAGCAGTAAATTCACTTAAAGATTAATTTTTCATGGTAAACTTCAGTTAGACACCAGTTGAAAACTATGGAGAGCTGAAAAACTAAAATGTTTTTAGTTTAGTATTTTTATGTAGTGCATAAATCCACAATCTCTTATGAAATCGGCGAGGACTATATCATGAATTCACTGAGTTGAAATCCAATAGATTTTGTATCTAACTTCAAACAATTTGTAATATGGTATGTTTTATCAGTTTGATACAGGATTTAAACTTAAGATACACCTTATTATCTTCAGTCTATTCGTTGACGTTCAAAATCTAACCGAACAAATGATTTACTTGACTATAAAAGTCAAAAATGTCTTATCAAAACATTAGAAAATCTATTTTGAAACAAATTATTTATAACCATTCAGTCCTCTTCGATCCGAAGTGATGCTCTAAGATATTTACGTTTTCACTGAAAATGATCATCCTAGAAAAAACAAAATTACATAACGTAGAAAATCATACAGAAGAAAGGTGTTTAGAGTTCAGAACACACTTTCTCAGTCCATGATTTTGTATTCTCTAAAGTACCAATGTAATCTTCCCAATTGTTTTGAAAAATAAAAGATGAATTTAAACAGATCCCTATCGTTTCACTTAAAAATTCTCCTATTAAAGATATGTACCACTGGATTGGTTAATTAATTTCGAGGTTTAAATTGTCTTTATATTCACAGATTTTGACTACAGTCTGAATACCATGAAGTCACTGAAAACTGGACTGAGCCAAGTTGGTAGGTGTCGGCTACCTGGTCGGGGCCTGAAAGATAATAGTAATCGATGGTTAGAGACCCTGAATGACATGGCTATCAAATCCTAGCATTCTAAATTCCTCATAACCTTCATCTTTTTCGTTTAAGTCTATTTCACTAGATTCTACTTCTTGAATAATACCATCGAACCCTAAAATTTCCGATAACTGCTAATACTTCTATTGCCTCTACTACTATGGGATTTGAACTGACAATTGTATCTCTGTGCTAAAATGGTATGGCAACTTGGACTGATGTACGCACGTACGAAGTTCTATGTTGTTGTTGACTGACTGATTGACTGACAGTTTAGGTACTACATTCTTCTAGATTCTTCCATGTTTAGTACTTTTCAAACACCTTATCTTACTTAACTTGACGTAAATCGAGATACGAATGAACTAGAAACAAGATATATTCCATATAACATCAATAATAAAAGTATGGTGAGAAAAACGCTACAGTATGGATAAAATTTTAACTGAGGAACTACTAATCTCTTTTTGCTCCTTTCTCTAATACTTATTAGTTAATAATTGACCGATCAATGTATTAACATTTGACAAACATAACCTCATGTACCAATGTATCTACTACCAAAAAAACCGTTCGTGTAAATTACTTCACTCTTGTTATAATCACAACTTAAAAAACAATCTAGGGTGTCCATTTTCATTGCAGTGTCAGCTAGTGATTAATCTTCTCATCAAAGACATACTAGTATGATAATGTGAAAAAGTAGGTCAAAAATAAAATGATGATTTACTAACCACATTTCTTTGAAACCCGGATTGCAAATAATTCGGCTTCCTTGTAAGATGAGTTAAAGAATGCGATAAATGTATTTTACTTGGTGTTTGGTAAGAAGAGTTCAGTCGAGATAGATTTGACATGACTAATCATATTTGAAATAAACTGATTCATCATTGAGTATTAACCAATATATTGAGTGTTGGTTAGATTTCATTGATCGAATTCTATGGAGAAAAATAGATTGTGACTAATATCTATGGTACTCCTAGTTAGAAGTCAGATGGTAAGAAGACGACAAAAAGAAACACCATGCCAAGTTTCATACTGTTTAGTATTTATTTGCGAGGTGTATTGGCAATCCTCATTGATGCCTACTTCCTGATTAGTAACATGTAAGATACTAACCTCCTGATTTTACAAGGTTTCAAGTTCCGATGCTACGTAGCTGGAGACAGTCAGCTGAAATTCATGGATATGTGTTTTGCAACGATTCGATGTAAGTCATCAAGATACTTGTTAGAAGAGAAAATTTACTGATATCAACATTCGATAAAACAAAAAAGTGTGCGATGATGGATTGGACTTACGGCTTTCTTATACTTTATTTCTTTATCTATTTGTTGGTGCACAATTTCAATGCTTGACCGACTGTTTACAACTGTACTGGCACTATCTGAATGAAATGAAAACGCGAGTAATTGTTCATATGAAAATGTTTTGATAGAGGGCTTCAGTGAGAGGGATAAATATACTACAAGGCTGTTTCAACCGAAGCAGATGGAATCAAGTTCAAACGTACAAATAAATAGTTAAAATTTAGGCATTTAGATCACCAAGTTCTGATTTCATGTGATAAATTTCAGTTTTTTAATAATCATTGTCGATTAATACGCAGTCTGACTGACGATATGTAGGTAGAGTCACTGTGTTATTACATTAGCACTGGAAACTTGTTAAACGATGTAAATCATTGGCTGCCATATAAGATACCTAACAGTTCGTGAATCTCGAACAGCACGATTCATTGAACCATTTGAAACGCAAACGTAAGATATGAATAAGTAATATAGAACCTGGCATGTCACCACAAGAAATCACTGTGACGAGAAAAATTATGAAGGTAAACTCTACTGTCAAGTAAGTAATGTTAATATCGGTAACAGTAAAAAAAGATATTTCACAGACATTTTGTTTTCAGAAGAAATAGTGCATTCGCGGGATTGAGGAGCATAACAAATTAGAAATTCGGGATCTAGAAGATACAGAGCGAATACATCCGACCAATTGTGATAAATTCCGAGCCATATCACCTATCATCTCCAACGATTAGTTACTATAATTATGTGAACCCCAACTATACAGTCTGCATCTATCTAGGCATACGTAAAACAATTCCAACCAGCTAAAATGATTAAGATTCCCTGTCAAATCGCTTTCCTTATCTAGGATCTAGTATTTTATCTTAGCGTCAATCACTCAGAGGACCTAACACATGAAATCACTGTTTCCAAGACAACTTTGTTCAAACGCCAGCAACCTACAAATGTTCTTTACCTCTAAAGACCATGTTTTCGAAGACATAAAGCAAAACATAGAGAACTACTTTGAAGTGTAATCATCCCTTGGTTGACAGACAAATATCTTGTCTATTCCAAAGATGATACAAGTTGGCATGAGATACAATGGAAAGCTGTGTTCACTTTATGCATTCTCATAGACAGTTCACCAGCTTGCTGTAAGACAGTACTTTTTCTGGGTAAATCACTCAAACATTACTCAACGTTAAGTATCATATCATTGTTCAAGAATTTTGAAAACATATGTTTTGAGATAGTTCTTGGGATATCAAATTGTAAATTTACTGACGCAACGCTACATCGTTTCGAACGACCGAAGAAAACTTTCGAAGCAGTCAATATTCAAGTAAGTCAATCTTATTTTATACATGCTTTATGAAGCTTTCCGCTACTTCGAAAATATGTTAATGTAATATATCACCCCCTATCTATTACACTGACCTTCATGTCAGCCAGTACTCTCCGTTAGAGTTTAATTCATTGTTGATTGACTGATTGTCAGATTAACTTCAGTTTAAGTTATTGGCTATGGTTCAAATTATAATACATTCAGTTACATCTCAGTAACGGTCAGTCAACCTCAAAATGATTCGCTATTAACTATCACATACATTTCATAACATAAATAGCTGTTTTATTTATGGATACCCCTATGACTTATCCCAAAGATTCGCCGGATCAATAAATCGAGCCTACACGGTTCTATACACATGCTAGATGAGTAGCACAATTGTCTCAACAAGACATGAAGAAAATATCTTCAAAAATATTATATATATATATATATATATATATATATATATATATATATATACCTGACTCAATCGATGGCTGCACTGACAGTGTGTTCCTGGTTACTTCTAGAACATCTTTTTTGTATGGCTTCTTAGATCGATCAGTAGTTTCTTCTAAAATATGTTTGTCCAACTCCATATTTATTTGATCATCTTCAGATTCTTTGTCGTTTTCCAAATCATTCATAGTCTTATATAATAAAATAATTATTGAAGTTTATTGCATTTGTCTATCATAATTATGAACAACAGATGTATTAAAAGAAAATATTTTGTCGTTTTGCGAAGAATGTTGCAGGTGATTAGTGGAGTTGTAGTGAATCTTTCTAACTCATTGTGAATATGGTGTTGAATAGACATTTAAAACCTTGCAAAGTCCTGGTAAGTGTTATCTTATCCGATACTAAGCATCCACTCCATTCATATCTTTATCGTTGCATAACTTGTAGTAGGACAAGATGACAATATATTAGAATTCGTGCACGCAAGCAAAAGTATAAATGCTCTACGATACCTTATTTAGCAAGTAAAATGTGCGATGAACATGTGGTAAGAACTAACTTAGTCAAAAGATCTTATTTCTAAACATGTTTCTAATTGAAAAAAAATTGTGTGGATTCTCATCATATAAAAAAAGAGGTTTCATTTGAATTCCAGGTAGTTTTTCTAGTTAATCTTTCGTATATATATATATCAAGTTATTGATTGTTTATTATCAGCGAATTTGTAAGGGGAAATTTGTCGAAATATTCCATGATGAGAATTCCATATTGTAACAATTATTCGATATTGAATAGAGCCGTGATTATTATTATTATCATTATTATTATTGTTACTATTATTATTACAGTATAAATTTATGGATTTATTTCATCTGTATATTATACCACTGAAATACTTAGCATACATTTTCACCACTTGGGTAAACAAAAGAGGTAATATGAACAAAATTCTAGTTATGTGAACAAACTGTTTGTCTTATGATATAATACCAAAGTATACATTATGACTTAAGAGCACAATGAAACCATAAAATTCCAAACTTGGGATGTGCTACCTAAATTTATGAAAAATATTTATTTTTTATTTATACTAAAACATAAGACAAGACTGCGCCATCATGATCTGATACACCTATCTTTATGTAAATCAATGAAGAATTTAGGCTAATATTTCATCATTAATACCACAGGCTGCTTTACTACATGATTATAAAGTTTAGATAAATCTTGTTTTAGCTTTTAAAATAATGATTGGATTTTTAACAAAGCCTATGGATAATCAACCGAACAAACTTGTTCTGTACATGAATAAATTTCATAAATATCTACACCGACAGCTGCTTCAGTTGACAACATTGCGTCTGCATTCTTCAATAAACATCATGTGTTTCTTAATTAAGAGGTGTATACAGTTTATTTCATAAAGAGCTTTATTAAAAGTTAAATTAGACTAAATCAAAAACTTCTAACGTAAACAATATCACAAATATGTCCAAGTATTTAAATCAACAAAATTTCTAGAAAAGTAAATTACCAACTCACCTTTATATAATCTTCATAATTCAAGCCAACTTTTTGTAAAACCTTCAAAAGTTCCGTTGACGGATTCTTTTCTGAGTATATTGAACTTTCAACTTCTACATGTGTAAGTGCATCAAACTCATTAAAAGTATCAATTAATTCCCTTTCTAGATTTTTTATGTTTTGAAGGAAACTTTCGAATTTTCTAGGTGAACCCATCATCAACTTATTATTAGATGACGAATCACATGACTGTAAAACAAAAAAATAAGAAATTCTTACTTAAGAAAAGAATTTGTTGACGTTTTACTAGTTGTTTTCTCAAATCAATCATACAACACATAGTTGCCATTTTTTCAGAAAACCTTTTCAGTTCATTTGGTGATGCATTTAAGTAGTAAACTGTTAAAAACTTTCTAAAAACAGGTATTTACCATCTTCACAGTGTAGTTTTGTTCATTTATCGACTAGTATATCTTTTAATCATCCTTAATAACCATCTATCATTATACTTTCGGATTGATTTTTATTAGGTAAATGTGACCTGAGGAAACAGTTTGCATGATAAAACGCAAACAGCTGCATGCCTTTGTTAGCTCACTTTAATATTTGTTGAAGCTTCTTTTTGATATCCTCTGATATTAAGAAAAGTGAACTAATCAGTTGGTTGGTTAGTTGAAAATGTATTGAAATTTATAAATCAAAGTCTTCGATCAATAATGTAGTAGTGGAAAACTGTTCTATGAGATAATCATAGTCTTCAAAAAGTTTACCGAAATGCCTTTCTTGTTAGAGTTCTTCGTTACCACTCATTAGAACATCATATATGGTCTTACTATAGTCATAATCTGTCACTGTTATGCCTGGATCACGGAATTCCACGCAAGTGCTTTTAGGATCGATGAAACTAGCTAAAAAATAATTCATCATTATGACAGCAAATTAAATTTAAGACTTGAATTTTAATAAAACTAAAATCAGTTAATAAATTTTTGCTGAAATTTCTCCCGGTATAAATTCAAATATAACAGAATGATCAACTGAAACGAGAGCCGGATTAGTAATTCTTTAAATTAATAAACTGAACAATTTGAGCTAAACTATGAATTTGAGTACTTACGAAGTAAGCATATGTTCAGCGAAATATCACGCTCAGCCAGCTATTCCTTACAGTAGTAGGATTCCCTTCAAAGTATAGCTTAGTATTTTTGTGGTATTACAACAATGATAAAAATTTTCTCAACTATCAATAAAAGTGCAGCAATCAAAACTGAGAGTTAACCCTTCTTATGATGATAATTAAAATCTAAACTCTTCTATCTGTCACATTTAAGATTCATGTTTGTTTCTCAAGTAAAATATGCATCGTTTTTAGGCTATGAGATCGTTTAAATGAAAAATATCCAAACAGAAACGTTTTATGGGACAACACAAAGAATCTAATCGCATTAAAGAACTGTATACATAGACTTAAAGTCTAAACTAGATTTTGCTGGTACTGAACCTACTGAATCTTCTTTATTTTTAATATACTTTACTCACGGTAAAATAAAAAGCTGACAATTTACCTCATCAAAGCATATTGTTTTTGTATCCATCCTTTGAGTTAAAATTTGGTTTCAACAAATGATTTGGTGAAAGGTACAGAGAAATTGGTTTCCAGACAAAATTAGTTACGCTTATGATAAAAGTTTGTACAGTTGCACTCACTGAGTACTCGGAGAAAAAATGCTAAAAATATGTTAACAATAAGGTATTTTTGAGTAAAATCAGCATGCACACCACAGGAGATATAGTTTAATTAGAATTAGCTCTTCGATAAGTATTCAGGTACAGACAGTAGTTTTAAAATTAATCTAATCATAAATACGAATTACCGTGTACATTAAAAACTCTAGGTTGATGATTTGGATTTACTTTTACCCATACTTTCACAAAAACGGTAATACGAACTAACGGTCGTTTACATAATATTGTCTCATATTCTGCATATACTTACAATAATCTCTCCTTAAAGAACTCATTTATAACATCAGTCATAAGTAAGTACTAAACAGTCATCATTTCAACCACTAAATAAGTGTTCTAAAAATAGTTTCTTCTAGCAACCCCTTTATTTCGTAAATTCTTACCACAAAATTTGATCCATACATACGTTCAAATGTAAAGGTCACTTCATCAGTTTTAGGCAATAAACTATGTGGTTTTCATAAAACTCATTTTTGATCAGCGTTTTTAATGATAAATCAGCATCTATATCATGTGTACGTAAAATGTCAATATTTCATTAGTAGTACTGGCTTACACTATTACTAATATTAGATTAAAACTCAAATACCACCTATCAATTGTATACACATAAAGTAATACTTTTGGTACAATTAAAGTTTTCTAAGCTTGGTAGATCCTCTTTTTGGACGTGTGACTCTGAAGTTTGAACCCAGATACCCCAATGAATTATCATGGTACTAGATACTTATTATTTCGTGACTCGAAAACTCTCACCTCATTTTTAGTTTCTACTTGATACTTCGGAGAAAATCAGAAGAGCCGTTACGCTTTATACAGTTACACTAAATACTTCAACGTATTTTTTCAAAAATTAGTTGACAAAACTAATGAAAATGCTTGGAATATGTATGGACTACTGAGTCTATATGGTGCATTAACAGTTGATTTTAAATTACATTTTGAGAACATAGCCGAATCATCCAATAGGTAGGCTAATCATTATCAAACAGTTTACCAACCATCGCTAAGATCAAAAACAACCAGAGCGCATCGATCGATTGCATGTGAAGCACTGACTAATATTAAAATGGTCACATTCTGTTTCTAAATACCTAATAGTAACAATAAATTTTAGTAATAACATCATATTCGTACTCAAATTGGTGACTGTGTGCTTCGTAAAGGGGAACCTTTCAGACTTATCAAAAGTGTGGGAATAAAATAAACCTTCTCCACAAAACATAAAACATTGAGATGGAAAATATATATCCTAAATAAAACACCGTTTCTTCCTGTTTCAACAAAACTAGGTAATTACAAGCACAGTCAGCACGTCAGATCAGCGATTTTCCCGACCATATGAGATTATGAAGAGCTTCAGAATTTGCGTGAGTATCTCTGGCTCTGAGAAATTGTGATATCTTAATTTGTTGTTAATAAGGTTTTATTTGTAATTAATTTCAAACTTATTAATTAATTTCAAACTTATTTTACCAGTTTTCCACTACTTATTAAAGCTATTGGTGATCTCTGTTATAAGATCAATAATATGAATGCGGATATGAAAAGCTCATCAATACTTGCGTCATTGATGTTTTTTCTCTAGAATCCCCACTGATAAATAGAACGTACTTCAGACCTTTGGAACTAGATTGAAGGGACAAGAAACCCATGATTAGCTCGTAAGTTGCTACAGTTGTTGATAAGATTTAAGCTGACGAAACTGTTTGAGACCATTGGTAATGTTCTTAAAGAGTTAATTAAGTCCAGTTTAGCTTACGTATTGCATCAGGTCTAGATATTACGTATACTCTACATGGAACTAAAACATAAATAAGTTTAAGTAATCGCAGAATCTAGGAAACGATTGTCAGTAACTCAAGATTACAGTGAACATTCTTTGTTAGATGTTGTGTTCATGGCTTAAAAGTCTAACGTGCCTAGGAAAAGAAGTGACTTATGCTGCAAGCCAGACTTTCTTGGACGACACGAGGGATAAAGTACATAAGAGCGGATTGCGATATATAAAATAGAAAACTTTTAATTTAATTGTTTGTGCTATTATAGCACATCAGTCTTTTAACTATCACTATGATTATATGTAGCGTATGGTAATACTAGAGTACAGGACAAAACTACTTCGATAACGTGAATAAATTTTAATTACTATTTTACATTTCATTGCATTTTAGGGATAGTTTGCTTATTTTTTCCGAGTAGAACGCTCATGCAAACTTCGCTAATCATTGCGCTCATAAAGGTCTGTATTAACGGACATGTTGAAGTTGAGAACAATGGCGGGATGGCTTTTGGAAGTGCATTCAGTTTGCGCAACCAAACGCGAATAAAAGGTAAACAAGCAAAAAATCCAGAAGTTTTCTTTAAGAATTTCATACGGGGTTTTTCCAATAAAGCTCTGTCGGTTTCTCCAAAGTTCTTTAACACTTTGGGTAAATGATGGGTTTTCCCCAATAATCCCCAAAACTTTTGAGTGATTCCTTCCAAAAACTTAAAGTTTTGAGTAAAAACTTAAAACTCGAATGATTTTAAGCTTTTCCAAAATTGTGGACTTTCCTCAAAGTTTGGAGATCGGGTTCTCTTAAATACAATCATATTCTGAGGAATAGTTAAGGACAACATTTTTCGAGGGTTAACCGTTTGCTGAATAGTTATCACCAAAACAGAACATTATCTCGTGATACTATTCGTATCGAACACGAAAACAAAAAATAATTTTTCGACGCATAGCAACAGGCTCAGGGACACATTCCAATATTCAAGATCTTTTTCACGAGCTTAAATAAACCAGTTGGTTTTCTTGAGCTCGATTCTTGTTCTTTCGGTACGGTTCCAGGTGTTTGTTAGTGTCAAATGAATGGGGTTCCAGCCACTGTATTGTCTAATTCTAGTCAGTTGGCAGTAGTTTGTGAGTTTGTGTGTCTCGGAATGTGAATGTAAACGTTTGTTTCAGGTCAGTAGGGTTTCTGGATACCAGCAGCTATCACATTACTGGACCGGAGATCAGTTAGTTTGCAATGTGGAGAATATTAAGGATAAAATTCTAATGCTAAAATTAAAAAGATTGTAGAACTACGTAAATCAATAGATAATTTAGTTTATAAATTGATTGTGAAGATTGTGAGAGTAAGCAAGGTAATGGAGACAGAGATAATAGGTGAGGTAGATTAATTGGGTGATCTGAGTAAATGGCGATGATAACAACTAGCAGGTCCCAAGATATGCATCATGCACAGCTTGTCCAAGAGGGAGATGATAATCCGTTCTGAGTATGTGGTTATCAAGTCTCTTCTTAAAGCTGTCCACTGAGGGAGCTGTAATCACCTCGGTTGGTAGAGCATTCCAAGTTGCGACGACTCACAATGATAAAAAGTGTTCACGAACCTGGGTACTCGCTCTTTTATGTGCAATTTTTCGAGGATTACTTCGTGAGGTTAATTCTTCAGCTGTCTTGCCCATTTAGTTGCTTATTTACGCACTCCAGGAAATTTATGTCTCGTGTAAGCAGAGGTATGAAGACGTTATGAATATCAGTGTGCGGGCGTGTGCATGTTTTAAATGATATGATGAATAATTCTAGCGTTGCCGCAATAAGTTGTCTTCACATAAATTGCAGAGTTGCTTTAGGCTTGTGTGTACCCCCTATGTAGTTTGAAGTTGTGTCCATGGTTAATAGACCGAGACCGCTCTCTGAAGAGGCACAACTCAACGGACTTCCTTCAGGGGGGAAGTTTTTTCGAGTCACTTGGGGCAGAATGTTCATCAAGTGGCATTTTGACAGGCTGGTTTTCAACCCGTTCCCCATTCCATTCCTCAATTTATGTAGGGTTATTTTGAAGCTCATTTGAATCCGATTGGCTTCTAACAGACCTCCAGATCTTTAAATTGTCTGCACGAAAAGTACCGCTGATTTGATTTTATCTAACAAGTCTTTAATGAATATCAGGAAAAGTAGTCGACCTGAGATGGTTTCCTTTTAAACCCTTGATGGTGAGGCTCGTCAGCTTGCATGAACTGTATTGACTTGGTACGAAACTTTGTGTTCTCAAGGTAGTTTCGGAGTCAAGAAAGAACTTGATCCGCGAGGCCTACCTTCGCAACTCTCACAGTCAGGAATACGTGAGGTATTGTGCTTAAGACTTTCTCGAGCTCACGTAATATTATTCGAACCAGTATCTTGTGATCCCGTCAGGTCGTCCAGTAGTCCCATGCTTCGAGAAGATTGGATGCACATTATCTGACCTTCCCAAACCCATTTGGGCCTTCTGTAGTATTCACTTCTTCTCCATGTACTTCCTAATTTACTCACTAACCAGTCCTACCAAAACCTACGAAACTACTAGCAATATTGCGATTGATCTGTGACATACTGGATCTTTCCTATCTCTTCCTTTAGAGGTTACACAGAGCAGCCAGTTACCAGTCATCTGGGAGTTGATGTGACTCCAATAAATGCCTGAACAGGGATTTTAGACACTGTCTCAGGACTATAAGTAAAATATTGTCTGGATATACTAAACAGCGATCTAGTGCATATTTGTTACTGATAGGTTTAAGCTGAGGTGTGTCCAACTAATGAGGTTCGCGTCAATTTCAATGGCTTACGTAACTATTTAAATTGCGGGATTATATACTACTGCAGCTTGCTCCCCTAGTGGGGTAGTGATGACCAGAAACTCAGGCCTAATGTGCGTGACTTTGAAAAATATGTTTCTGAAAACTTCTTTTATCCAGCAACTTCCGGTCGTCTCTTTCTACTCTATGAAGTCATGTGGTATATGACAATATTATGTGAAATATGTAAAAAACTCCAGAGACGATTCTTTGTGTCCTTCTTTTTCAGTCGTCCTGGAAACGAGAAAAAAGATTATGAATGCTTGTCTGAATACATTCGTTATGATGCAGGTGATCAAAACGCCAGAAAATCCTGGTTCGCATGCGCACAAATGCCGTGCAACAGGGATAAAAAATGACAAACTAAAGGTTTCTTCATTTCTTTCTAGAATATTATGCTTATAGTTACATATATTATGAAAACCACAACCAGTTTTTTCAATAAAACACAAATAGACAAAATCAAAAATGCAAAGAGAGTTGTAGATTATGGGGAAGAAGCTGAAGGAGGAATTAGGTTTAAAAATTTTCTGCCAACAGTAGTAGTTTAGATGCTCATAGTATCTCAAAGATTTCCAGAGCGCTTCTTTTCAGGCCACTTGCAGTATTTCAATAAATTTTCATTGTGGTTGTTGATGATTTGAGATTGTGTCACATTCCTAGGGATCGTATCGCTCGTTTGTGTTAAGGACGTTCACGGAGGAAATTCCTTCTGAGCAGGCAGCTTCAATTTTTTCGAGTAGAAACAGATTTAACTAGTTAGATGTAATTGGATTTTCTACTCTAACAGTTCATTCCGGCACCAATTGGTGCAGTTTGATAGGCGTACGCCCAGATCCGAAACAAAAACACAATAATTCTGGGAGAAAACGGTCCTATTAATCAATAAAAATGGAAATACAGACAATTACCAAACAATACTACATCTTCTAGTTCCAATTTACCGCGGTGGGTATCCGTTTCTGGAAGAATAAGTGCTTCCATTCCGTACTGTTGAAGTATCAAATCCAAATATGGCTGTAGCCATATTAAATATCAAATTTAAACAACAAATGTACAGTTCAAAAGCAAACATAAAATCTTCAATATAAGTACAAGATATAGAAATAATAACAATATACAATGGTAAAATCTCAAAATGGAATCAAATAAAGTACCTAAATGTCAACAGAAAGAGTCAGTCATATCATAACACAAATATATATACATGGAGGGACTTTCCAAAAAGCAAAACATTCAAAATAGATTCTACATTGGGTCTCAGATTACCAGAGGGTGACTTATGGCAATGATTGAAATCTACCTGAGTTCGATCGAAATGATTTGAGCTACCAGCTTACGTCGACGTCACATCAGTTCTAGCCTAGGTCTAAAATCTTCCCAGCTCGTCTGATGAGAGTCAGGTCAGCCTGTTTACGTATTAGAGACTGAATAAATATAATCATGATATATCACATCAACCACAATCCTCATCGTTCCAACAGATCACTTCCATGACTCTGTAGTGAGTAACACAAGATGAAGCAGAATACAAAACTGCCAGTTCGGAATTCGAAAACCCATATTCACTTACAAAATTTCATTATTTCAGCCAGGAAAAGCCTAATGTTTGATAGTTATATTCTTCAACTTGGGTCTCTGATTTGACAACAGAGCATTTCACACAATGACTTTCCTCTCAAAACACTGTTGCACCATGATCTCTAGTTTATGCTGGGACGTGAGATTAAGGCTCATTGAGAAGTAGCTATTTTACCACAAAAACTTTGATTCCTACTCCATTAGGAGTGCCTGAGTTCTTATAAAAATTTATCCATTCTCGAAACAGTGCAACACATTCTTTCCCCTATTGAACCCTATTTTCATGAAGAAGTAACAGCCAAAATGATATCTTTATATCAAAAACGCATTCGTAAAGTGGTAGATGTCACTGCGAACATCATATTTCCACCGTTACTTTCTTCAAAACCAGTATCACGGCTAAGCAATATCATTCTCGAAAACGCTTTGATCCACATAAGTATCTCTGATATATGGTTAAAAAGACACAAATGAAACTAGACTAAAATTGGATCCTAATCGGATGCCTTATTAACTGAAGGATTATTTATGTTTTGATTTCTGCACATTGAAATTAGATTTTGAACCTGGTACATCATGTAGATCAAGGACATTACCAGCGCACATCTAAACGGATGTGGGCGGGGGTTGGTTTTGTTTTTTAACCTGTTCATTTTAAATGATCTCACTCTAATGTTTTACAGCCCTTAATTTCAATTTCGTAGGCGTGATACTGTGCTGGTAGATGACTTCTAATCATTCCCTTGAAAGTCGCATCATACGTTAACTAGAACCCTTTCAAATATAAACATATACATGTATAGACGACTTTGTTTACTTGACGTAACAAAGTTGAGTAGATAGGTTTAGATGCTTCTTGCTATTTTAGAATCCTACTCGGCACTGCTACATGGTAAAAGCCCTGCTTAGTTTTTTCACAATTTTGCCATAGAAATAATAACATTCACCAAGAAATTTAATTACTGTTCGTCTAGACAGCGTATCAGTTCAATTTCACGAGCTCATCCCACCAACTTTCAAATTTCAAGGTTTGCTCATCCGTGATTTTAAGACCGTGTTAAGTTTTTATAACAACCACACAAGTTCATTTACCAAACAATTTTTCCATTTGATATTTAACTAGACAACATACAAACCGCTTATTAATCGCATCAGTTATTTGTCTCGTGTGGCTTGAAATAGCGAATGCTTAATTGCTAAAGCATCCTGATCTGACGTATTAAGTGCTGCCATTTACGGATTAGCATCGAAGCTATTGCAAACAATCTTGGGCCTTGTCACTCATAGTCTCTAACTATCGGTTGCCATCTTCTCACGGACTCCAACCAGTTAGTCTACTCCTACCAATATGGCTCGGTTCAGTTACCAGTGACTTCATGGATTTGAACCCTGTTTTGGTATGGCCACTCCCAACTTTCTTCCAGCCCAACTGTACACTACAAAACATAGCTCGTAGAGGCAGTCGGTGGCTAGGCTTACGTAGCACATGTCCCCGCAGCACTAAATGGTGAATTTTCGCTACTTCATTTATAGATCTTCCATCCTTACCTGTTTCTTAAAGTGAGCATTGCTTACTCGGTTGTCCCAGGATGTATGAGAAATGCTTCTATGGCACCTATGATCGAATGCCAATAACCTACGAACATACTCTATTCTTAGTAACCATGTTTCACACGCTCAGTGTAACTCGACTTTTGGTTAGCAGACAAATCTCGCCCGTGTCATAAGTGAAGGAAGTTGGTAAGTGCCAATCGAGCCTTCTGTATACGTACTGAGATTTGGCCAGTCACCAAGTCGTCAAGACTGGTATGCCCTGATTAGTTGGGTACAGGATATGTGTAGCAGATTGAGTGATCAGAAACATTTCTCAGATAAATGCGGTTTATTGGACACAAAAGAACCAAGTTTGATATACTATGAAGTTTTTACTTTTCACAAGACTAACCGTCATACATATTTTGAATATGTCTGGCTTAATATATTAATTATGTAGTCAAGTAAAGCATGGATGATAAGCATCTCTAAGTCTTTCTTTGGGTTCACAATCCCTGACCTCATCTTCCTAAGCTCGTTTTTTTCCATAGTTGAATCCCTTACGCGTGGGGATTTCTCTCATGTGACCAAAGTTCTGTAGCTTTCACTTGACTGATTTCAAAGACTGTCTCAAATGTATTTTATGACTTGCCATCTAAATGTTGTCATGTTAAAGCTTAAAGTTCCGAATGACATATGAACCATCTAGCCTACATCGCACCCCTTTGTGTTTTGTTCATGAGTGGTTTTGTTAAACATTTGCATTGTGTCAAGTTTACTTTTAGAGTTTATTTATCTGCCGTATTTTTTTCAGCAAAACAACTATAATCCGAATGAACCGACTGAAGACCTTAAGGCATTTGAACGTCGTCTTCGTGAAATCATCAACGGCTTAGGTCCAAAAGCATTTAAATGGCGAATTATTTTGTCTGTAGCTGTACTAATGTTATTTTGCTCCGCATACTGCTGGCTGATTGACCCTGTCACTTACCAAGCCGGTTTTATTGGTTCATTAGAAAAACACCCAGAATTTGTATTTAGTCTTTTACTCCTCATGATTCTTTTCTTTATGGGAGCACATAAAAAAGTAGTTTTACCAAGTATCATAGCTCATCGCAGTCGAATTGTATTAGCAGAATATAATATGGCATGTGATAACTCCGGGAAGCTCATTTTAAGACCCAAACCTAATCTCTAACTAACTGTGTAAAAATGCATCGTGTACATAATGTAAAAAATCAGCCGTTAAGTCTTTCATCATAGTTCACTTCGGATCATATGGATCTATATGGTCGTACTAAATAATGGTCATTCAACGGATGAAAAGAAACAATTAAATTCAGATTTTCGAGTCTATTATTTCAATTTTCGTATGGTGAAAATTTCGCAAGTATCAAATTCATATTTACATTTTAGTAGACTTGTTTCTTGTTATTTTCACCACCTTTTCCCAAACATGTACCAAATTATGTGATTACTCTATCAAATGATTGAACTGAGAAACCTAATGTTAATCTGCTTGTAGAACTATTGATTGGAAAATATATTTTTCAGAATTCATTTTTGTACTACTTTTTATTGTTCAAGCTAATAGTAACTTCCATGATATTGGGAGAAATAAACTGCTGACCGGTGAACCACACCTTTATTCAGAAAGGTCATTTTACCTCATTGTTGTATAATCCTATCCGTTAAGTGTACTTCATTTTAGCATTAAAATTGGCACAATCTTGAGTAAACTTAAACGCTGACATAAATGTAAACGGATTAAGATTAACGTATGATGATTACAAGGAGTATACTTCGATTTTCTGCAGCTACTTAATTCTAATAGTGCGGTTTCCGCCCTGGATCCAAAGATCAAGAATAGAGCTCTAAAACCAAAAGCAACTAAACTGCTTCACGACTTCCCACTATACAGTTATGTGAAAGGAGAGGTGTGAAAAAGTGGTTGTTCCACTATTTTGATATAGAACCATTCGTATCCGCATTTTAAAACAATGTTCAACCTGTTATGTACTATAGTCATGGTGACTTAAGTCTGCTAATAATACCATCCGAAATTTGTTGTTTTACCCTGGGAGTTATAAGATTAACGGATGAGAAGCAGACCATGCATCATCGGCTTTCATAACCTACAACGATCTACAGATTATCCAAATCGCTATTAGTTTGGTTTCAGGACCTTCAGTCATAGTATGTACTCTTTCTTAATCTCAGTCAGACGAGAGATACATGCTTACTCAAGAAAAGTCTGTCGTCTTATCAGGTTAACTTTTCTAACCATTGTGGTAAATATACTGATTTCGAACATCTACATCAAAAAAAAACTGGATGGTTTTCAGTATTTACTGATCATAATTTCAGACGCTATATTACTTATACTTAACATATAATTCCGTTTGCTGACTAAAGGATGAGTGTGCTGCCCAGCAGTCCGCTCCGTTCTCCTATATGGATCCGAAACATGGCCGGTAAGAGTAGGAGATATTCGTAGGTTACTAGGATTCGATCATAGATGTCTTAGAAGCATTGCTCGTGCATCGTGCGACAACCGACTGAGCAATTCTTGTTGTTAGGAAACGAGTTCTAGGTAAGGGTGGCAGATCAATAGATGAAGTATTGAAACTTCATCAGTTGAGGTGGTTGGGACATGTGTTACGAATGCCCGACTACCTCGATGAGCTTTGTTTTGTAGTGTAGGAGTAGGTTGGAAGAAAGTTAAGGGCGGCCAGATCAAAACATGGCAGAAATCCATGAAGTCACTGACAAGAAGACTGAGTCATGTTGGTAGATGTAGGCTACTTGGTTGGGGTCTGCGAGACGATAGTAACCGATGGTTAGAGACCTTGTATGACATGGTTCAAAATCGTTTGCAGTGGCGCAGGTGCATCCACTCTTTGTGTTCTCTCAAATTCTAATCTTCTGGATTCATCAACATCTCTACCTTTGTCTTTCTAAACTTATCTCACTGAATTATACTTCTTGAATAATATCTTGGAACCCTAATCTTCTCTGTTACCAGTAGTACTCCTACTGTCTCTTCCACTATGGGATTTGGATTGGAAACTGCGTCTCTGTGCCAATGTGATATGGCAACCGGAACTGATGTACTTACGTACGAAGTTCTATGTTGCATCTGACTAACTGACTATAACTCAGTTGCGTCGGTTGACATGTTCTATGGTACAGTAGAGGTTTGTACGGATAGTAAAACTAAACGAAAATGACGTAAATGAGTATTGTAGCTAAACTGTATGTATGGCTAGCTTCACTGTCCCTTAGTACTGTTGGATTCTGGGTGTTATAATGGAGAGTGAATTTGATGTTTACTAGATTTAGTGTCTTTTAACGTTGATGAAATTGAGTAGAGTGTAACGGACAGTAATGTAAGATACATTGATATACGTTGCTCTACAAAATTACTGAAATGTGTCGGTAGTAAGCATTCTTTTTATTTGCCAGTCGCTATCATAAACTCATCAAGTACATAATACGATAACATATTAACTAACAAATTCGTGGTTACAATGTATGATGTCAATATTGATTTGCTGCTTGCCTTTACATCAAGTTATTGGTTTGGGAAGTATCCCTGGATGTCCCGAAATAAAACAATTATTTGTCAAATAATGACTGAGTGGTAAGAATAGTTTGAGCCTCACACTTTTATTAAATTCATGATAGCTGCAGTGTTTAGATTACATCGTCGTATAATTATTTACTTCAAAACTTTTATTTTTTCCCAGATGCTCATCTGCAGCATGTTAAGTACAGTATATGACGTAAATTTCACTTTTATCGATCACTTATTTTTTGGGTAGACATCATCTGCGAAATCCTCATCACTCATAGCCTAACTCAGACGTAATAAGTAATCTTATAGCTGCTTACTTTTTAAAAAAAACTGTTATTTTATTAAGCCATTGTTTGTCTTTTATTTTATTTACTACCAGCAAAGATAATGATAGTTTGTAGTAGCAGTATGTATCATCCGAATGACTACTAGGAAAATGTGACTTAGAACACCGTGTTTAATATCTGAAGCTGTTTTAAAATATTCTCAATCCAAATCTAATAGTAGATCAGTATAAAGCCTATGAACCACTATTGTTATGCGAGAGGTAGATTTACTGATTGTCAAATCCAAGTAGATATGATGATTACTAAACAAGTAGCTAGAAGCTGAGTGATTAAACCACATTGGGATATTATAGACACGAAAAATGACGTATAATATTGAATTCCCTGCTATGATTGATATCGTCAATTCTATTCATTATAAAGCAGAACAAGTACTTGGTTAATTACTTTCGCATAATGAAGAAACATTGTCGAGATATCAGTCGGTTATACTGTCTTTTTTAATTAAATCTGACATTAACATACGGATATTAAAATGAGTAATTTGTTCGAAATTAAAGTTTTTATTACTGAAACAAAGTAAACTTTTTTATTTACATATGATCATTAGATCCGTGATAATTAGATCAACAAACACAAATGAAAATTATTAAGTAATAAATACAATTCTAATTTGTTTTAGTGAGATATTTTCCTTTGAAATTCATTTATGGGTGATCAATAAATTTCGTGTGTTCTGTTATTGGGAAGTGTAAGCAAGATAAACGAACTCTGATAATTCATTGTCTTTTGAAGTGATCGTTATTTTACTTCTATTTACACTAAAGTAAATTTTTCAAGACTAGTTTCATTCACATGGATGACCGTTTTATAAGGTTCCCAACATGACGGATCAGGCGTTGGCACCCGATATTTAGTGGATGGACCAGCTTTGGGGTTATTTGTATGCTCATCTTGGCCTTCTCTTATATCGACTACTGTAGCACAAGTGGTTGTACTTGTGGCTAAGCTGTCTGTTGTTGATAATGAAGGGAGTCCACGAGAACACAGGGTCGGGGTCCCATTGTGTCTCATTTCCAGAACAGGAGTGTTTCCAGTAATAGTAGTTAATGTTATTGCAGAACGTGGGTATGTTTGTTGCAGTGAAGTACTTTGATTTGCAGCAGATGGACTTACTTCCCTAATTTGTAGTGATGGTGCTAAGTTGTCTGTGTTTGGGCTTTGAAACGCCGAGTCACGGGATATAGATTCTCCACCTGGATGGAAGTTTTGATCCGACCATTCTAATCCTGTAGGTGCATACCATCCAAGCTGAGACTCTTCGGCACTTTTAACATTTCTAGACCGTCTATTTGATTGTGAACCCTGGTAATCTAATCCCACGTCACTTGAGGTATGTTCCACTATAGACCGGTCTAATGTTATGTTTGAACTACCTCCACGACCGCTCCCCCACTCTGAACCTGAACTAGGACCCCTTCCGGAGTCTTTGTCTTCTGTTTCTGAGCCTATTGACCCTCCAGAACCGAAACCTGGCGGTGGGGGTGGCAGGAAATTTTGTGGTGTATCTGGTGTGAAGTTTTGTAATGAATAAATAGGATTTCTCTTATCAAGTTGTGCACTAAACATTACAGCAACTTGGTCAGAATATGTTGTATTAGAGTGTGAACTTCTGTTTGTTAGATCCTTATTCGTCGTTGGTTTTGTTTGTCCAAAGTCATCGTTTGTCTTCATGATCACATGTTTCTGTATGGGAGTTTGATTTGTGTGAGAATCATTCGATGTTACGAAGTTTTTCGAACTTCCGTCCCACGATGTTTTTGCCTTCTGACTTGCGCACCTCAGACTAGTAATCTCACAGTTCGACAAAACTCTACACGTTTGGCGCGGAATATACCCTGGTGTTCCTGTAGCCACTAGGTGGTCGACACACCATCTACGTACGTATAACCAAAAGTCATTCTCTGTCAACGGAAACATTACTTTCTGCTGAGCATGTGTAGATCTTATTCTCCCATCCACAGAGTTAGTAACTGTTGAACTTGACAAGCTTTGATTCAAAACACAAACATATTCACCCTGACGAACACCTAACAATTTGTATCTCTCTTTCCACTCTGCCGACGGTCGAAAATCAACATTTACAATAGCCAGTAGTTCGCTATTGGCCAAAGAAGAATTCTGTACAAAGCTGTTGTTGGGCAATGTAAAAGGATGTAGTGTAAAACCTGTGCTGGGACAGTTAGATTGGATAGTGGAATTTAACCTTCGGGATACTATACAAGTGTGGGGATAAATAGGTGAATCTACATGAAATTGATTGCAAATCCTTACAGGAGAAGAAAGCTTTAGTTTTGCTAGTCTCATATCTGGTTTCCATTGCAAGTCAGATTTATGATAAGCTGGTGCTCTTTTTGGACTTGCAGAGGATTCATTTACATTCTTTAGACATAGTTCTGATTTTACTTTAGAAGCAGTTGTGTGACATGCAATGTTAGTTTTATTTCTGTTGGTCAAAGCAGAAATGGTTTTTTCATCCCATCCATATGCTTCTAGATCTCCTTCCTCTTCACTGCTTGTACTGCTACTACTCAAACTATGTGATGCATAATGACGACGCTTTTCATTAACAACCTTAATATTAGAATATCGTTCTGTTCCTCTATCTTTTTTACCTTTGTGATGTTTTTCATTATTTTTCTGTATGGAATGCATTCCATTATTTGGTACTAAGCGTAAATCTAAACTGGAACTACTATCTGACGTACTACTGCTTAAACGATGACTTAATCTTTCTTGACTAGTTGTTGTTTCATCACTGCTAGTGCAACTGCTTAACGATGGATAACTTAAACGAGATGGATTTGTCTCATCACTACTATCATCATATTCATGAATATCATTTAAACTTCTATAACGATGCTTGTGATTCATGCGAATTTTTTCATTAGATAATTCAGAATTCGATGAAGATGGAGTAGGATTTTTAATAATTGAATTATTTTTGTTTTGTTCACTTAACGGTGGTGAAGGGCTTGGTGATGCTTGCCATATCTGTGTCGGTAATGTTGATTCAAAAGTTACTGATACACCTAATCCACGACGTGTATAAACATCGGAAGATGATGGGGATTTGAAATCAACACCTGATTTTCTCTTATCAAGTGAATTATGCTTGATAATTTTACTCTTCAATGGATGTTTATTCTGTGAATTATTATTTTGTTCATCTGTTAAATTTTTCTCCTCTGATTTTAACATTGATTCATTTTCTGTGGTTGATTCAATTTTTGTTTTAGAATTGAGTTTCATTTTGGATTTTTTAGCAAACACTGAACGCATTTCTACTTGTTTTTTTTTTTCTCTAGTTCAGTGTAATTGTTCAAGTGATTGTTTTTGTTTTCACTACATCTTATCCAAAGTTAAATATCTAAAATATTTGTGAAAAAAATATAAGAGAGGAATCAAAATGTTATTCATAGATTAGAAAATCATAATGTAAACAAAATAATTATTATAACAATTTGAAAATGAATCTTATCTCATAAAATTATTGACAAGATTTTTATTCTAGTTTAGTATTGAACATATAATTGAATCAAACGTTTCACTGTTGCCGTTAATATGAGTCATAATCCAATATTCTATTCCTGAACTTTATCAACCCGTGAAGTGACCTTGTATTTATTTACTATCATAATTAGGTTCTTTTTGGTTGACTTTATAGATAGAGAAATGTTTATCAAATAATATTCACTTAATTGATGACATAGATAATGACTTTTATGTTAGTTTTATAAAGAGGATTTTATCACAAACTGTAAACTTGAAATTTACATGTCCCTAGTCTAAGAGTGCCTCAGTGTGTACATTCACAATTTCACATGAGACTCAACTCAGAACATTCCAATTTTGTACTGAGCATCATGCCTTTCAAAATATAGACTCAAATCCAAACACTCTTCAAACAGGTATTTTTCATTGAAGTTTCCTAAAAGGTAAATCTGTAATTATTGACTTAGTGGGTATTATAGATCATGATTTCTTATCTAAAATGATGTTAACTATATGAATAATGTTTTACTTATTCAGACGTTGGTGTTGTTAAAATCTTTCGTTGAGTTTGTTGACTTATCTTAAGTGATCAATAAGTATGTGAATTCATAATAAATGACTCGTACAGTTGCCTCTTTTTGTTTTCGTCCCGAACAAGTAGGCGATTCACCTTATTTTCGTTACTGAATTTAAGTGTGGCTACAAAAAATATGACATGAGCTCTTATAAAACATAAAATCCATGATTATAAAAAAAAAAAACAGTCATATGATAGTATCATTAGGAATATATTTATAAAAGTTAGTTTCATGTTGATTAGTTTGCATGCATGAATGCTTAACTGTAGTTTATAATTATTAAAATTTTACATTATTCATTAAGGTAACAAATTAATTTCCATATCTCTTGTAAAACATTGAAATAAAGCTTCCTGGTGCTTAGCGTAATAATTCGCCCTACGATTGACACCATTCTACTCACAAATGATTGTATGATTGTATTGTATTATTTAAGTTATCTTGACTATTTAATACTATTATAAGGAACTGTGAAACAATTACTGGGTCAATTTAACGGTACTAATTATTTACTTCTAGTATTATTGAAAATAAATATTTCAAATGGTAATTTTGATCGCATCACAAATTTCTGAAAAAAAAATTTTCGTTTTTCTCTTGATCGTATATAGTATTTTTTTTTAATGCTGATATGCTACAGTTAAAAGAGTAGAGGTTTTAAAAATTTCCACTACTGATAATGTTCATTATTATTCAGTGGGAATTTCACTGAAAGAATTTTTGTTTTCGCCTATTTCGATTGAATACAATAAAATATTCTAAGAATTATTAATTTGAGGGTAGTATTTTGCATATGATTACAGAAATGTTAACGTTGCCAGTATATTTAAACTCTCAATAAAACTTCAAAATATACTTTCAATAATAAAAATAACTTTCTTTATATATTAATTAATGTCTGAAATCTGGAATTTTATATATTCATTGTTCATATTTAGTAAATAGCGTTTCCCCTTAGTATATTAATAATATTAATACAGCTACTATATCAGTACTTATTATGAATAGCCGGGTAAGAAATTACTAGATTTCAGTTTTACTACTGATGATCAGAATAAGTAGTGTTGTTTTAAAATTACAACACTAACATTAACCTAATCAACCAACGATAGTATCGAGTAAACTCTCGTGATTGTTAGAATTTAAAGGCTTGTTTATATTTTAGGTAGAGTTTGGAAACTTCGTTTCCAGTAACAACATCTTAATATGTCGCTTCAGGATTGCTGTAGGTCACTGGCTAGTTTGACGATAAGAAAGAGTACAGTGAAGTGTGCTTACTACTTTACTTTTATTGAGAGCTTCACAATCTTTGATGCGTTTCTGTCTTGTGAAATATTGGTAAGGACACAGGGGGACTGCCTAGGTTTCGCTAACCTATTACTCAGGGGCGATGTTTTTCTAATTAACCATGAGACGAGTATGCTGTAGAACAATCTGATTTGTGTTACTCTAGTGGTGTAAAACTTGGTCTTTAAAAGTATAATACAAACGCAGCTTGTAAAATACTTCGATCGTGGGTGTCTACAAAGAATTGCTCGCACATATGGGCTGCCTATTAAGTAATACTGAGGTTAACTGTCGAGTAATAAATAAAAATTCAAATCTACTGGTGAAGCCAGATATCTTTATAACTTATTAGCTTATCACATGTGCTATGCATACCTGGCTACTCCATATCCAGTAGTGTGACGTTGGCAAGCATATAAGTCGAACGGATTCCAGTGATGTGTAGTTTAAGAGATAGAATGAGTGCACGAAGTTATTGACTGTTGGTCTGATAGAAAAGAAAAGATTTTATATTACTTCTTTGTTTTTATAGTTTTAATATCCTTGTTTTTCTTTTTCGAATTGTCAGCTGTTGTTATTTTATTTGTTAATGTTGATAAGTTTGTGTTTTTTGGGGCCAACTGATGAAGTGAATAGAAAAACATAAATTGGATTATAACTGTAAACGACATGTAGATATATATAAGTACATTTATAATGTCATCGCTTGACATGTATTTTATTCCACTATACGTCTAAACAAGATTAGATGTCAAATTATACATAAATTACAATTGAATTTACTATGAGCTGATCTCATGTTCACACTGTTTTAAGTACTTTATATGATGTTTGTCAGCTACTTTGAAGAAATGACAATAACTGTTTACATGTCATGCAGATGACAGATTTGAAATTATTTTGTATATGAATAAAAGAGAAAAAAAGTTAGAGGAAAGGCCACAGTTACCTGACAAGTAATCAAATGCTAAAGCCAATAATACATGTATTTTCGAATGTTATAAAACAGTAACAATGATTCTTTTATATTATAAACTTTCAGTCATACTATGTCATACAAAAACCTGTTAGAATAAGTTATCTTATGTTTATGTGATGACCATCTTGCATTAACTTTTGCATTTTTTTTAAATATATTGAACAAAAGTCACTCACTACAGTTACCCTCAATATATATGACACTGGTTCTCTCAATTCAAAGGATTTAAAAATATTTCGAATAATTTTGTATTATCTTTCATATTGTGCTGCTTTCTGAACTTAACAAAACATAATTTAATCTATTACATACAAGTTTAAACCAAAGGCTAAAAGATGAATTAAATTTTATGTATGAATGTTCCAGTGATGTTTTGTCACCTTGTACTTTACAACTTTTGTTATGAAATGTATATTTGTGGTGTTTTTACTATTTTTCAGGAAATTATTTTACTGTATGTATTACTATCAGTATTTAAGGATGTTATAACTCCGAATTGATCAGTGTATACTTTGTATAAAACTCCAAAGCCACTCGTAAAAAATGTGAATGGATTTTTGTATAAAAACAATAAATGCATGTTAGTAATCTTACGGATCAGAATTGATAAGTATCTTTTTTACATGAGTACTTCCTAAGCGGGTAGCCCCAATATAAATATTTGGATAGTGACTAACAATGGAATCTAGAATACATGGTTAGCTGGATTCAATACCTCAGTTGGCAATGCATTTAGCGTTTTAAGCAAAAAACAATAGGTTATAGTTCCGGTGCCAAGATCAACACTAGGATATAAACAAGTCCTAAATAGGGCGAGACAACATCCTAGATTCCATCACCAGCCATTATTCAACTTCACCAAAACGTTTTAGTCAGTCAGCTACAACATAGAACTGTGTACGTACGTACATCAGTTCAAATTTCCATACCACATTAGCACACAGAGAACGAATTGTCAATCCGAACCGCATAGTAGTAGAGGTAGTAGAAGTATTTGCGGTAATCGAAAGGATTAATGGTCGAAGATATCATTTCAGAAATATCACAGAAGAATCTATTAAAAAAAGGAGAAAAACGGTCATGAGGTGTTTGAAAGGTTAGAATTTGAAAGAAGACAAAGAATGGATGCACCTGCGCCATTGTAAACGATTTGAGCCATGCCATTCAAATTCTCTATCGATTACTATCGTCTCACGGAACCCAACCTGGTAGTCTATATCTACCAACATGACTCAGTCCAGTCGTTAGTGACTTCATGGTTTTGTGGCATGTTTTGGTTTGGCCACCCCTAGCTTTCTTTCAGCCTACCGCTACACTAGACATCATCGCTCGATGAGGAGTTTAGTAAAGACATCATATTTGTCAATGGTAATACTAAGGTGATCAATTTTGCTAATATAGTGTTCTAAGAAAGACAAATAGACTTATGTTTTGTGGAAGCCATACATAGCTATTAATAATTTTTCAACCAATGGCCTGATGTTTTTTAATTTGAACTTGGAATGGAAACCATTTTTGACAAGATTTCACACGACTTCACAGTAAATTTACTATAATTCACCGTTAGTTATTCGAGAATCAATCATCTCGTTAATGTCAATCATATAAGTCAAATTCAATATAACTTATCAGATGGATGAATAATGATTGATATTATTCTAGTGTTTAATGTAAAATTATGCAGTTCGATCCTTCAGTATGATCTGGTTGCAATATATATAGATACTGAGGCAGAAATGTACACTCAATCACTTCGAAAGTGTCCATAGAAATATGCCCACAGTGTCTCAGATTTAGTGAAAAGACAAGTGAATGATTGACCCTTGGGTAAAGTGCACATAAGTAGCTAAATAATTAGATACAGAATTTATGTCAGATTAAAACGAAAGTGGCTCTTGAATATGTAAAAGAAATAATGTTTTCTCTTGGAATAAGTTAATGTA